AATGTTTAGAATCAGTAGGAATAACTTGTTCAACATGCAAGATACCGAGCAAAAAATGCTTTAGGAATTACCCGTGCTGATAAAATGTGGGCATTACCCTCCCAGCGGGATTTTTCTTTGCACAAGACGAATACCATGGGTGGTAGGTTCGGTATTAATAGGCTTGCGCTAATCAGTTGTCTCTAATCCCATCCGTCTGCGAGGAAAGCCATATATGCAAACATTTTGTGGACGCCCTGCCGCCTCTACACAATTGTTATGGAAATATGACCACCAAAAAAGTTGAGACGTCGGGAAGTGTCATTGACATTGTTTATTTTAGGCAGTTGTTACTACCACATTTGATGCGAGTATAAAGGCTTAAAGGCTGTAGATTTCACTATCGCATCAGTCGTACGATACCATCTGTACAGTCAGTCATTCAATCAATTTCTTTCTACCGACAAGCATTTTGCATCATGCACTAGTTACCGACAATGAATAATCTTACAACAAATCACTTCGTATAATAAAACCAGGCATAATCTGAGCTGTGTTGATAATTTAAAATAACTTTACCTCTTTATGATTTTCAGTTGACTAATCTTACTGAGTCTAGACATCTAGAAGAAATATTCGCGCACGTTGTAACGAATACAACCCAGCCGTTTATGTTATGAATAGTACAGAGTATCATATGACCATGCATGACCTTGTCTGAAACTTTGCGCATGACCTTCAGTTTATTACAATCGTAGTAGAAATATATAAGAAGTCGATTTAACATTGTCGAAAGAAATGTTGTTTTGAATAAATACCAGCGCCTGTTTAATTATTTATTTTTACAGCAAATAATCCAGCTTATCAGTAGTTGAGTCTTTTTTGTCTTGCCGCTTGTCTTGAGTGTCGTGTTCCCGGCAACAAGTATGACGCAAGGACAATAATAATACACATATTTTGCTGACTTGCATCAAACAAAGGGAAGCATTCATTCATTCATTGTAGAAAATGCATTGTCAACTCAAAATGGTTACATCTTTTCTGTATGTTGTCTTGGTTCTTGGGATTTTGTTTTGGGTAACAGCTGACGGTCACGAAGGGCGCACATTTACCAGTCAAAACCACACTCACAATATTACAACGATTACTTCCTCAAGTCAAACAGACAAGGAATGTATTTTGATCGTCAACGAAACAGATTTGTGGTTTCTACAGGACCTAGGTCGAAATAAGGCTGTTCATATTGTAGAACTTAATCTTCAATTCACCTCTAAAGAGAACAATGCCACTATTAAGAAGTGGAGTTGGCTGTGGACAGACAATATCGGTCATAATATCTTGGCATTGCTCGCACTAAAAGACACTGAATATTATGCTGCCCATACTGGGTTCACTTGGACTCTTGACGTTGGCAGAAAAACAAGTGGATTGCGTGTAAGTGATATTCCTGCCGGATGTACGGCATCTAAAAAATCACCAGAAGATTTTATTGCTAGTGCTCTTTTGAAGCAACTCTCTATGATCCAGGAGAAAGAAATTTGTCAAACCACGCAAAAGAGATGCTGCAAGAGTTTTAACAATAATCCTCATTGTTATGTGAGGTCAGATGAATCTGAATTCGTGCGCATTATTAAATCGATCTTATCGGTGATTCAATACGGCAAATTTTTATCTCTGCCTGTGTTAGTATGTATTGCCATAATATTACTAGTCAAAAAGGAAAATAAGAACGATGGTTATTACAGGCTAACGGAAAGTCCGATGTCATTACTATCCATTCTGCGTCTGTTGTTTTGGGATGGTTATGGAAGAGTGAGATCTTTTGTACGCAGGTGTTTGCTCTTGGTAGTGATCTTCCTGTTGCGTTGGACACTGAAATTTTTCGATTACTCTAGCATTCTTCCTCTTGTGCTTTTTCCTCTTTCGGCGCTGTCCATTCCTGTGTTCATCATATATTACGATGCTGAGAATTTTTTCATGGAAATTGACTTCTCAGAAGTATTGCATTTAATTCCTAATGTAACTGCAGCATTTCATTATTTTAGTTATGACATACATACCTATTTGTCGCGCCAGGCTAAATCGAAAGCCATTGGTTTAGCCACGTTGCCTTTTAACATAAAACTGTGGAAAAAATCGTTGATTAGATTTTCTGAATCTGTCAAGTCCTCTAATACATCACGATGTTTTGTACGGTGTAAAGTTCTGCTGTACATTAAAGTTGTTTTTCTTTGTTTGGTTTACATTCCAGTTGTTTTTATATTGCAAGTTGGTTTAATGTTTGTATGCATGTATACTTTACATATTTCAGCTGTTCGTTTCATCAGCACAAGGAGGCGAAGATTGATAGCCATATATATTATAAATAACGTAATTTTTCTCATGTTACCAATATTGGTTTGTATTTCCTACACGCCTCCTATTGTAATTGGGTTGCTCTTAGGCATAATTCTCAATATTGTCTTCTTTTCCCTTACATTGTTTACATATCAATTCTGACATTTTATTCCTGGATGATTTGGTCATCTGTTGAACAACAATATGTCGTCTTGATGAGGCTGATTTATGATTGCAACATGGATTACAAAAATGACAATGACAAGAACAATGACAACAACAACAACAATGACAACAACAACAACAATGACAACAACAACAACAATCACAACAACAACAACAATGACAACAACAACAACAATGACAACAACAACAACAATGACAACAACAACAACAATGACCTTAATAATGAACTAGACAATGTCCTCAACAATATCCTCAACAACGTGAGTGGCAGTGGAGGAAGTGATGTGTTAGATGATTGTAGTAAAATTGTGTGCGTTGTATCAAAGGAACTCTATGATAATATTAGGGAACGCCTCTTACCATACCATGTGAATCTTTTTTACTTCGCGTTAAAAGTTTTCTTCACTTTTCTGTTCTCTTATCTTATTCTCACTCTTGTTCGAGTTCTTCAAGCCAGCGATGTTTCCCCAACAGTCCAGTTACTCACAACGTTCAGCTTTAGTGCTTTTCCTTACATTATGAATACTGTTGCGGCGAAAAAAGGAGAAGATCAGAAAGATGCGTGGAAACAACAGTTGAAACAACGAGTGAGACCATTAGTGAACAAACTGGCGGATGCAAAACCTGGATTACGTCAGACTGAATTTAGTATAACCTCTAGCTATCATGACGAACATTTGATACGACGATTGAAATCATTAAGGAACAAATCACACCAAATTCGTGTAACAAACAATGAAGATGACGATTTAATCATCTACGAAAGTAGCGTTTAGTACAAACTCTTCTGAAACAATAAATCATCCAACGTATATTATACTTTTACTTTTAGCAAGTGATCTCTCGCCGAGAGAACGGTTTAAATAGCGAAGACTCTGACCCCGTCCAGGCAAATCCATACATTTTTAATAAAAATGTTACGTTACACAACGTTGCTTAAATCAACGGGGTTTTGAATTTTGCCTAAAGGCTCGTTTACATTTGCGATTTTTGCTACGATTTTATGTGCAAGATGTGAACGAGTAAATAGTTCCGAATGCTCTGGGGCCGGTTGTTCGAAAGGCGATTAGCTTAAACGGTGGATAAGCCAAAGTTTAAAACTGCTCTCATACATCTTGTGAATGATTGAACCTGCATCTTATGCATTAAATATGTTTGAAAATTGAAAATTAAACTATTTAAAGCGAAATAGTTCAGCTCAGTTGTTCAATAAATAGATAATTTTGGTTTCCATTTTGAACTTATCCACCGTTCAAGCTAACAACCGGCCCATGATGTATAAGGGCTCTATTTTGAACATCAGTAAGTAATTCACCCGTTTACATGTGGGCCTACCAAAAGGCGAAAATCACACAAAAAATTGCGGCAAAAATTGCAAGTGTAACGAGCCTGTGTAACGATTCATCTGACCGATGGAACCGTGTTATTGGTCAGCAAACTATGAGTTGATTATTTGATCAATATTTCCAGTTCTTTTCGTATGTTCAGATCACTTGTAAACCATGTTCAGATAATATTCTTGAAATGTTCATGTTTATGTAATTTTTAAAATTGATTTTCAAAGCGTTGCCTAGATAATGAGTATAAATGGTAGTACGTATATTAGCCTTGTCAAAGCGATGGCATTATATAATAGAGGGAATATTAATCATGGGAAACATTGAAACTTCATAGAAACTTCTAGCTATATATCAGTTTGTAATATTCGAATATAATGAAGAAGGATAACTTCGTCAGCTTTTATTAACTGCTGTTAATTAGATTTGTGTTTCATATAAAAATATATCAGAAAACTAACTGCTGATGCCCCCCCCCCGTCTTGCGCCACCCTGTTTGAAGCTTCGCTGAATACTTTCAAGTGGCCTCAAGGCGACGTCTACTGAGAAAGATCTCTTTATATTGGTTTATCAAATACATCGAACTACAGGGAATGTAATTGCTCTAGCGTGTTTTTTGAAAGCACTTTTTCACATATTTGGTGTACTGGATCGAAACTAAAATACACTGCACGCATATTCTGTGAACTCAATCTAAACTAAACGATTGCGCCCATATTTTCTGAACTCGATCTAGTTAATATATTTCAAATATTCAATCGACGATTCACAGATTCCCCATTCCCCTCTTTTATTTATAAAATTTCTCCGCCATAAAAGCACAAGCAAAAACACTCCTTTAGCTCGAGTAAACGCTTAGCACGCGTCTTGTTTAATTTTCATGAATCCAACAGTACAGATAATCACATCCAAGGGAGAGAAAGTGAGATGGTTGATGAAAAGTGTAAAATTCTGTGCGTGATATTAGAAGAGCTGTATGATAATATTAGAGAACGCCTCTTACCATACCATGTGAATCTTTTTTACTTTGCTTTAAAAGTTTTCTTCACTTTTCTTTTCTCTTATCTTATTCTCACTCTTGTTCGAGTTCTTCAAGCCAGCGATGTTTCCCCAACAGTCCAGTTGCTCACAACGTTCAGCGTGAGTGCCTTTCCTTACATTATGAATATTGTTGCGGCGAAAAAAGGAGAAGATAAGAAAGATGCGTGGAAACAACAGTTGAAACAACGAGTGAAACATTTATTGGACAAACTCACGGCTGCAAAACATGAATTACGACGAACGCATTTGATAATAAACTATACAGATAAATTTGACGACTCAAATGACCAAGATGATGAAAATTGCTGCTGTATCCCAAAGCTATCTCAAATAGAGTGTTCTGTCGAACAGAGAAAGTGGAAATAGCAACTGAAACTTAATTCGTGTATAATCACCTCGATATTGTACCTGGTGAATGTGTCGGGTCATCATAAATACATGTAAACGTAATCCGACCATTGTAACTGTTGAGTCAACGTAGATATTGACATTTCTAAATAGTTATGTTAGATTCGGTTTATTCTTTCATTAATATTGAACACGAACATTGCGATGCCGAATCTTCTACTCCTAGTCAATGCTAAAGCTCTCTTGTATGTCGTGACCAGTTAAAATACCACTGGGAATCCAAATAACAACTTGAATGATAATTTTTGAAAACAATCTGCTTTTTCCGAAAGCCGGGTAGGGTCGCAGCCCCTCGCAAGAATGATTTTCATTGGCTGAACTTTACAATACATTTCTGTTTCAACCAAGCATAGCTTCGTTCTTTAGAAAGCATAGAAAAGCATTATCCAATTGGACGAAAACTTCCGAGCACTGCGACATGTCCCCGAAAGCCAGCTATGCATGTTATATACATAAAACTAACGCTATTGAACTTCGGTGTAAAAAGCTCAAGCGAAAAAACATTTTCCGTGCTTCTGTGCAGTTATAGAAACACGCGTGGGAGTTTTAGAGAACTCGAAATGAAAAAGAGTTCTCCCAACTCCCACAAGTGTTCTATAACCGTATAGAAACACAGTAAACTTTTTTCTTTTATAATATAACTCAATAAAAAGATTTTGTACAAATATTATAATTCGATCAAATACAAATTCTTTTAAATTACTTCGTCAATTTCGACGGGAAAAGTCCCGTGTCTCCATACAGTTATAAAAACATGCTTCTCGACCAATCAGCACGCGCGTACTATAAATGTTATATTATAAAACACTTAAAAATTACAAGTTAAAAATATTCAGAAAATACAATCCAGTTGAGTCCATCTCTGATCTTATGATACACTGGATAGAGCCAAAATTAGAACTATGCGTATATTGAAAACAGAGCCATATTTAACTGGTAGGCCCCTCAGCCATGTATTTTCCCACTAAAAGTAGACTCTATTTTTATGTCTTTACTAGAATGGAAGTGCAGATGAACTGGAAAAGATTGTTGAACAAACGTCTAAAGAACGTCTTTTGCTTGAAAAACAAGTTTCTTCAAACGTCGAGGTTAGTGACTGGTGTTAAGTAAACAGTGCATTGTGTTTATGTTTCGAAAAGTCTATTCTTTCATAAAAGATTTATTCAACGTGCACAACTTTCCTATGAAAATTTTTACTGTAACAAAACAACCCTGTATTGCAAACACGTATCTTTCTGCCGTATCCTCCTCTCTGAACAAACTGACCTGTAATACACATATTCCCCTCTCAATCCAAACATTGCCCAAAACGTCTCTTCTAACATTTCAACATCAACTCAAATAGAGATATCCCTAACACATACACACTGATGCCAAGCTCTTGAGAATGTCTATTTTTATTGCAGATGTATCTGTTTTAAACCATGCAATATGTTTCTAAATATCTCAAATACCTACGATGATCTTAATACACCTCCGGCATCTAGAAAAAGTATATACAGACACCTTTCCAGTAATATTTCCAGTGATATCTCCAGTAACATCTCCAGTAACATCTCCAGTAATATTTTCAGTAATATCTCCAGTACTATTTATGATAGCTACTGGAGACCTTGTGTAGTTTTACAAACATCTTACTTCTTAATTCGCACATCGGAAAGTAAGCTTCTTCACTACGGTTCTCTTATATGTGTGTTGTATAATGAACTTGAATCCTTGTTTAGAATTTACGAGAAGAAATAAAGGATATCACCGCTCAAAACACAAGACTAGCAAATGATAACGATATTTTAAAAGAGGAAGTTTGTAAACTGCAAGATTTTAAATCAAAACATGACACAATTGTAAGTTTTGTTTATATTTATATATATTATTATAAAATAACTGGTACGTTCCTTGCAATTTACAACACCTACGAACAATAATTATATATGAATTTTTCTGTTGTATAATTGTATCCTTATCTGATTATATCTTTAACATATCCTTATTATATCCTTATTTGTACTATAACTTCCTCCATGCACGAAGGCCCTCGGGTCGAAAGATGGCGAAGTTTCCTTGTATAATTTAAAGGGGTCATTATCATTGCGACGATATTCGTCCTGTAAAGATATTTGAAGAAGCTATCATTCTCTGACAGGATATCTTTGGTTAAAACTCATATATTTTTCTAATTCATGGTTTTCTTTGTGAATTTTAGTCAACTCGACTGAAAGAAGTCCAGACACGCAATGAGAAACTGGAAAATGCGTGTTCGGAAAAGGAAAAGCGGTTGTATAAATTGGTAAGTTTGATTTTCTTTTGACACCTGGTTAGCTCTAGTTAAACACGGGCCTACGTTATTGGTTCTGATATTTCGTGTATTTTTTTCAATGGTAACTAAACTGATGAATATCATCTAAATTAACGAGAACGCCTGAAAATGTAAAATAGTGTAAAACAGTAACTGTGAACCCCCTTAAGCATACTCATATAGTTTTATGCAACTTACTCACCGAGGTGTTGACTTTAGGATTTAGAAAAACAAGCGTTCACTGCGAAGAACAATGCATTACAGAAGAAAAACAACGAGTTGTTATCCAAAGTTGACCAGCTTAATCAGGTACCCACTGCCTTGCATGTCAATCTTGCAATCAGGTATCACTTGCACTCAGGTATCCACTGCCTTGCATGTCAATCTTGCGATCTGGTATCACTTGCAATCAGGTATCCACTGCCTTGCATGTCAATCTTGCAATCAGGTATCACTTGCACTCAGGTATCCACTGCCTTGCATGTCAATCTTGCAATCAGGTATCACTTGCGATCAGGTATCCACTGCCTCACGTATTATTTATTAATTAAGAGATTATGTAGCTAAGCCTGTTGTTGCGAACTTCACTTGATTGGTCCATTCTGCTTCCGGTGTAGCCAATCATAAACAATGTTTACAATTCCGATCATTCTTCGTGTGGAATAATTGGCCATAGCCTGACCAATCGTTTTCAAGACCTTGACAGCTTTCTTAAAATTCACACAAAAAACCGCGAAATCGCAATCAGGAGTATAATACTTATTCTCGAAGCAATAAGATTTCCAGCGATTTTCACGAAATATTTGGAGTTCCCAGTTGTCCCTAGCAAAACGAACAGACGGCATGCGGGTAGGATACAGCACCCTACTGTTTCTAGTTTAGACCATTCCTCTATAATTATTAAATCCAGAACAAAGCAATCACATTTGAAGTGTGTCTTCAACTCTAGGTTGAAAGAGAATGCTCTCGTTTAAAAGAGAGTATCCAAACATTGGAAAACGAGAATCTTGCGATGAAAGAGGAGAATGTGAAATTAAGAAACGAAATCAAAGACTTATCCGAAGTTAAAAAGGTAGATGCTTTATTTATTTGGCGGGCTTACTGGTTACGGTGTACTAAATAATTTTATCATTACCGTTTCACGTTGTTGAAATTTTACTTGGGATCATTGAATCTTTTCTGGTGAAGATTATTTTTTTCATATCTTCATCTCAACAGACGTACAAGCTAAGACATGAGTTAGAAACTTAAATCCGTGAATTGGAAACTAAACAATTCTATTTTTCTTCAAAGTTTTTTTCTAGAAATCTTGGATTTCTCTCACATACAAAACCGCATGAAATGTGGTAAAAAGTTATGTATTCTTCTTCCTTTTTTAGGAAGCCGAACAGTTAAAGCTAGATAATATGGATTTGGAAAAGCAAAGGGAAAATGTTTCGTTGAAGCTCGAGGAACGAGATCAGGAAATTTCATCTCTTTATGAGGTATGAAAGTCCAGTGAAATGAATTATTAGGCAGATTTAGCACGAGCACGTGAGCGTCAAAAACGACGTGAAAATGGCGAATAAATGGCGTGGACATGACACGTCCTCATGCTAAATCTTCCTATTTTAACACCGGCGGTTCGGAAAGATAATAATGACATAATGACAGTTATAATGAACTTTTTAACTGATTTTATATATCTTTCTAATATTGATTCTTAACGTATTAATATAGCTATTAGTATAAGCTGGAGGGCCACTTGTTTTAAAATCAGTTCATCATACTGTTCGGTGTTTACCCTCGATAAGTAAAGTTGATCTATCTATCTCTGACAGCATAAACGGGGCTTGCATAAAATAGCGTTACAGATATCTGTAATTTTGAAAAATCTCACTCGTTCCCCAACTATGATCGCAGACGTTGTTTATTTTTCTCCCCAATCTTCTTCCGTCTTTGAGAATGTGACCCTGCATGAAAATAGTCTTTTGAACGCTACCCCCCCCCCCCCCGCAGAAAATAACATCCCCACCCAGAATGCGTTTAACTATAAAAGCAGATAAACGTATGTGATAAACTTCAGGCACAAGAAGTGGCTCAGAGAAATCATTCAGCAGAAGTGAGTGGTTTGGAGGACATGGTGCGCCGATTAAAGGAACAAAAAGCGAGGAGTATTCGTGAAGAAAAGATGGCCGAATCTCGTAACACGAAAAGTTCAGTGCTGACGTCGACACCAAAAGACAGCAAGAGTACCCAGACCTCTCGTCCGTCATCCCCGGTCATGTCACCAATAATACACAACGAAATACATGAGTTGCAACGAGACTCTCAAAAAGGTAAACAACAAACAGATGAACACCAGGGGCCGGTTGTACGAAAGCTGGATGGTGCTAACCACCGGATAGCAATTATTCAACCATTTTACACATGCATGCATGAAAACCAATTAAATAACAGCTTGGAGATAACAGTTATGAAAGAGATCCCCCAATGTAAGACTACTAAGTTTTAATCGTATATCTAGGTGATGCCGGAAGACGACCAATTTAGGGCGATTGATTATTTTCTAAGCTGTCAAACATTGACTTGATTTTCACCAAGTCAACTGTATTAACTGATCGGATTAAACAGATGATTAAAAGTTTGTTTGCAATCTTTCACATGAAGTTTTTTTTGTTTTTCCCGGGTTTTTTGACTTTGCTGACTCCAAGCTTGAAATCTGTCACTGAAACAGACAAAGATATGTGGAAACACAGGCCTAAGGTTAATGAACAGAAATTCCCAAGCACATATGGGAGCAATCCTATTTGGCTTTCTTGTTTTAGACGAAGACATAAAGAGTATCGATGATGATTCGGGTCAGGAACTCCTAAATGTCCCGTACAACGGAACGAGTTCTTCGACTAGTTTCGATTTGGAAAAAGCGGGAACACGAATTCAGCAGTTGGCTGCTTCAGATTCTGACGAGATTGATTCTAATTTTGTGAAAACCCAGAAACAATCGCCCGTGTGTGAGTATTTTTAAAACAAAAGCGATTCTGAACGGAGCCTTAAAGATTCACTTTATCTTCTGTTTTCATCATCAACTAGTTTTGTTATGCAGTGAAAATTTATGGAACATTTTTTCTTTCGATTTTTAGCATCGGAGATCAGCGAGTCTTCGGAGCCGAGTGTCGAAGATCAGACGAACGAGGAAGATAAAAGTTACAGCGCGGATGTGAGCCAAGCCAGTGATGTTGAAGAACTTCGTGTCAATAAGACATTGCAAGATGTCCAGCAAGAATCAGACTTTTACGATCCCAGAGACGGTAATAAAAAATTAATAACTATAATTATTTCATGTTTCTGCGTCTGTCTAATACAGCTCATTCAACTATGTTTATGTGGCGCTAGGATAACTTGATAGTTGGTATGGTATAATAATTATAGTGTAAATGGCATACAACTAGTTTCATTAAGGTTCGCTTTACGCGTAACATGGAAACTAAGGCCTGTTTTCCACTTCAATTATATCGTAACGTAGCGTATTTCTTTGTTTCCGAAGTATTCGACCAGAACTTATGAGTTTAAAACAATGAGATACGCTACGTTTCGCTACGATACGGTTGAAGTGGAAAACGGCCTTAAGGGTCTGTTTATATTTTCCCACCCATCCGGGACGGGACAGTTTCCGTGATCCTGCTTGTAATACAAACACTATAATGAGTGAAATGAGTGTTTATATGATCACTCTTTCATCCCGGGATCCCGCTTAGACGGGACGAGAAATTGCCATAAAAACACTCCATCCCACTTGGCCGGGATGTTTCGCGATAAACATACCTTTGGAGCATGTGTATATTGGCGTATATTCGTTTTCTACAGTAAAACATGACGTCGAATGAACCTGTACATCAAAATGAACTCCATATAAACACGCCATTCCGCCTATTGCAAGAACTACCCAATGGAATTTTTACACTTTCAAATGCATTTTAGAAATTAACTTGACTTCTAGAAATATTACTCGAAAATCGACATGTGTTATAAACCCAAATCTTTTACACACGTTGTGTAGATCCTGATATTTACATCGGAAGTCCGCTTCAAGACTCTCCCGACTTGGAAGAAAACTCTCCATATTCATCGCTAAGTACAATTATGATCCAATGCTATATTCTCCTAACGAGAACCCAGAAATGGAGCTCGCTTTTCAAGCTGGAGATTATCTGTATGCTTACGGAGATGTCGATGGGGTATGTGATCGTAGAAAAACTCGCATTGATCAAAAAACCATTCTGATAAACGGTTTACAATCCTGGGACCGGTTGTTCGAAAAGCGTTTAACGATGTACTTCCATTGACAATTAAACTATTTACATCGAAATATTTCACCTCATGCAGTTGTTCAATAAATAGATACTTTGGTTTTCATTTTTAACTTATCCACCGTTTAAGCTAAACGCCTTTCGAACAAATGGCCCCAGGAATATATTGTTTTCAACTATTACAGGCTGATTAATTGTATAAAATTGTAGTTGATTCAGTTGTGAAAAAGATTGGCCAACTGTATTTGCGTTATTTTGCAGACACGAAAGTTCGTCCAAAGTTAACCTAATTTTCATGCACTCAATATATTAAACCTTTTAACATTGTTTCTTGACCGTTTTAAATTCACAAAGCATTATTTTCGTTATCGAAGTGCCTTCATCATCTAATTTGGAATGACATATTTGATGTTTTGAAACAGGATGGTTTCTACGTGGGTGAGCTCATGAACGGCGAACGCGGTCTTGTTCCTTCGAATTTTGTGGAACAAATCGCAGAGGAAGAGGCCATTTTGAAAGAAAGCGATGACTTAGGTATGAGACATGATTGAATTGTTTGTAATCTCTTGTCTTAATCTGCTAAGAAGTGTAATTTTCATGTCAAAACAACCTATAGTTTCCTAAACCACTATTTCGATTATTTTTTCTAGATGCTGATTCAGATAGCGAAGGTAAATCCAGAATTCGTAAAGATTTTTACTGTATATTTTTGTTTACTCAGTTGATGTTTTAACCGCGTTTGTTTGTTTATATTCATATTTTAATTTAATATGAACTCTAAAATGCTTTTTGCATAGGATACGTTTTTTTACTTTTACATTTAACGATAGCCTATATCTTAACCATAATTTTCTACTTAAAGCCCCTGCTAAATATTTTGTATGAATTTTCTAAAAGAAGACAGTTCAGAGGACGAAATAACGTTAAAAGACGAGGATGGCGAGAAGAGAGTAATACGACCGAAAGCATTTTCGGGTAAATAATAAGAAAATTATGATTGATGTAACCTGAGTTGGGTCATAAAATCTTTAAGATAAGTTCAACTATAATCAGGTATTCCAGCGTTAAATTAGATCAGATTGTTTAAAGGTTAGATTGAACATAAACTTCGTGAGCATAATAAATTCACGCACAATTCAGATAAAACCTGTCATCTTATAAATTCAAGAATTAACCTATTTTAATTAGCTACCTTTCCCTGTATGTCAAAGTTCTAAAGCTAAGACTGAATTAAGTTTTAAACCTCCAGAAAGTCTCTCGAGTAATTCTCGAGAATTAATTGCTATTTGAAAGTTATTACAAATTTCACGTAGTACTTATACCTAAATGTTGATTAAAGTTTTTGAACCTGTTTTCAACCGCTCTGACAACATGTGGTGGCAGTAATGTTTGTGTCTGCGAACATATTTTTCTCCACCTTTTGATAAACCGGTGAAGTGTTTGTTCAAGTAATTTTAAATCGAGTACTGTTAAATGAAAACGTCTCACCTGCAGTAATAGATATAAATCATGTAAAACATCTAATAAATACACCTAAACATTTAAAAAGGCGAAGAAAATGGAAGCATATCAAGTATAACATATATAATGTTTATTATAACTATATACAATGTTTATTCAAAACATTATTAAACGTTATTAAAAGTATTTATTCTATTGTCAGAACGTCGTCATGAGATGTTTCGATCATCTCTTGATCACGTGCTCACTGAACAACTCGATGACATCCGGGAGTCTGAGGAAGACGACCTGGAAATGAGTTCCCTCTCCGAGGACGAGCTGGGAAACCGGAAAAACCAGAAAAACAAGAGCAATAAACCGGAAGCGGATCAGGTTTCTAGCGATGGATTGGATTCGATCGATTCTGATGTCCCAGAACCACGTGAGTTATCAGGATTTCATGATCTTATTATGTATTGCTAGGGTAATATTTCAACTTTGCGAAGATGTCATGAGAAATCATAAGATCATGAATGACGCATCTCTTTTCCTATAAAGGAATGAAACATGTCTAAATCTGGTTATCGAATTAACATCTGATCATAATATAATCACCCAGTGTAACATACCTTTCAAAATAATCATGCAACATAGCAACTTCTCTACACAACTTGTCATCGTCAAGTTTGCTTCAACAATTGCCTAAAATATATAGAGCCTGCTTTACACTTTCTAAGAATCTGGGATTTCCTTTGCCTAAAGTTACTAGTGCAGTTAGCTGAACCATGCCTAAACTTCCCTACGTTTCGACCTAATCATCTTCACCAGAATTAGTAGGACTGTACTTTTGACGAAGACTATTAAAACCTCGCTGGATCCTCTGTAATTCTTATTTCACCACATTTAGGCATTCCATCACCGACTAAACTCTCTCTGGATCGTCAGTTTACGAACAGTGCATTGATAAGCTGGCGAGGAGCGCAGCTGCCCAATGATGAAATCCAGGGATACAATGTTTATGTCGACGGGAAATTCAAGACCCAGATCAAAGGAAGCAAAAAGACGAACGTCGTTGTGGAAGATATCAAACCCACCGAGGTACGGCACTGATCTTATATATACACTGGATATAACATCCATGCTAAGGCTTTGTTTTTTATCGGTAAAGTTAATTTGCGTTCAACTGTTCTGCTATGCGCTTACCGTCTTACGAGAAACATCTTTACATTTCCAGACATATCGAGTATCGGTGCGAACAAAGTCGGTCAGCGGTGTTGAGTCACCTGATACCGACGCTACAATGGTTTTTGGTCCAGGTAAGGTTCTCTACGCGTACGACTACGAGTACAAGATTCGTGATTCTCGCGTGTTGTTTGCTTACGCCATCAGCCAAAACTTGTAGTCGCCGAGCTTTTGAGTACCAGTTTGTTTATTATTTCTTGCTCAAAAGGCCAACGACTACGAGTAAGACTTTTAAAGACTCTCCTAGGCGACAGGCACTTTTGTGACATCGATGATAACAATTCTTTTTGTTTCTGATTCTGATTGGCAAGGCATATCAAGTATTGTAGATTTCATATACTTCTTACGTCATTGCATACAGATGCCACGTTGTCGCCTAGCAACGTCGATGTAACCAAGATCACAGCCACGTCAGGAGAGCTTCAATGGTTGCCATCTCACAGTAGCTACCAACACGAGATTTTCTTGAACGAAACATTACTGGAAAATGTCAAAGCTGGTTGTTCATCTTTTGCGTTTAACGATCTTTCTCCTTCGACGCAATATCACATACGAGTGCGGACAATAATCCCTGGCCATCTTGAAATGTCTGGGCGTAAGCTCACAGAGAAGGATTTAAGTGCTGAAGTGGAGTTCACAACGGCTGATGGAGGTAAGACTAGTTATATATAGTTATACACTTAAATTAATTGGATGCATATAAACGTGATGGGCCTCTCTGAGTTACACACCGGAAAAGCTGAAGAATTAGCTTGATCACAGTGGAAATCGAATCAGCGACCTTTGGTTTGCTAGCCCAGTGCTAATTTTTCAGCTTGTCCTGTTGGTAACTCGAGAGGTAGAAAAATATCCTTTTGAACATCGCAAATTAAACATGCCGGAATTGATCATTTTAAAAGGCGGTAAAAATTATCACGTATTTGAGCAAAAAATTGTTGTTATATTCTTAATGCAAGGCAATGTGTAGAAGTTTGATAAAGTTCTTTGCAGGGCTACATTTTGCAGCTGAGATGGGACGGCAGCTTGTAATGCAGACTGTCAAATGTTTGGTCTTGACGTCTATTGTAGGTTACAGTGATAATTCATTTGTTTAAAATGGTGTGATAAAACTTTTTCTGTTATAGGATTACCAGAGCCTCCTGTTGATCTTCGACTTTCCCAGCGGACGTCAGAGAACGTGGTTCTAACTTGGTTACCAGTCACTCTTTCTCTCGATGGCTACTCTAATGGTTATAAAGTGAGCGGTTATAAGATTTACGTAAATGATATTTATTGCACGGAGATTGTTTCTGCCTGTGTGGACAGCATAGTAATACCAGTGGAAAAACTGAGAAATCTCGGAAAGCGACACGACTTTTCGCGCATGCGCTTTGTTGTTAGAACGCTGTCCGTACTAGGCGAGTCTCTCGACTCGAATGCTGTGGAAATTTGCTCCGAAGATCATGAAATAGAGAATAGGACTTGTGGGAAGGTGGAAGGAGCTATCTTAAGTGTGAATAATAAAGATAAAAAAGATTTCGAGACAAGAAGTAATTCAGATTTGCGTCAAAATATTGATGGAGGCAATTTATTGAGTGATGGCAATGCTATAGTCTCAAGGGATTTGGCCCATTCTTTGGAAGCGAACTCTACAGCATTAGAAAGTAAAAACAATTCTGAATTGTCGAAAAAAAGCGTTGGAGAAAGCTGGTCTAATAAAGAAGGTACAAGGAACCAAGGTGCCTTTTCAAGTAATGAAAGCGATCAGGAAGACAGCGGCGACGGTGTTCACCAGGCTACGTCGAGTATGGATTCGACTTCGGAAAGTAGGACCAGTAGGAAATCGAATGTTTCCGAGGTTGCCGAGTTGAATTCAGGAAGTAAGGATGACAACGAGAACGTGAAAGATGGCGGACTAGAAAAAGATACGACGAGTGCCACCGATGTTCCTCCGACGCTTGTCCGAAGGCCACCAATCGTCAACCGGTATGATGTTGAAACGGAAAGTGAAAGTTATAGCACGGAGTCTAAGACCGTTGACACGGAAGATGAATTGATTGAAAGATTTGAACATTTTGAGGTAGGTTATCTAATTTGAGACCCATTTGCACAATATGCTGCGTATTTCGCTTTAATTTTCTCAGTTTTTCCCGGGTTTTATAGTGCCATGTACCTTCTGTCTAGCGTTTCAAATTCCGTAACTTTGTTCATGTAGATTTCGGGGAAAAACGAAGTCGACGTCGCCTATAAAAACGACGAAGACTATAAAACATGAACGAATTACCCGAATGTGACACTCTCGGCGGTAATCATCCAGGGACTAAAGAAAACAGTTCGAAAAGCGAACCACGCGAAGAAGAAGATATCACAAGAAGCGATGGCAATAATACAGATTCTTCACCCCAGGGTAATGGAATTTCACAGAACAATTTAGCTACAGATCATCGCTCCTCAGGGAGCGAGACTTATAGCGAAAAAAAGGAGGACAAGAATCGCTCGAAAGATTTTCAAGCATTCATTCAGAATGCGGTGTCGGATGATATGAGCAGTGGGGCAAGGGGGAGTGGTCCCACTCTGACTATTGGACCACCGGATTCTGAAAGCGAAACCGACACAGAATACGGGCCACCGTTATCTGTCATACACGAAGTTGATGAAGATAATCTCACCGAAACAAACAGTCGCACCTCACAAGATAGAACAAGTGATGATGAAGCCACTCTTTCTAATAAACAACTAACTTCTCTCCCGGATGACCATTCTAGGAACTCGAATCTAACTGGGAGTTGGAGCCGAACCATTACGTCCGATGACGAGGGTTTCCGAACTGAAGACGATGTTTTAGATCTCCTTGATGGCGAGGATGAGTCTATGATTGGTGGGCCTACGGTTGACAATACAACATCTACGACAAAGAAAGGACAAAGTGCGAGTACATCTAGGGTCGATAAGGGTAATTTTAGAACTACGAGTGATAATCGAAATGACACCGATTATAGGACAATTGGTAGTAACGATGAACAAACTATGGATAATGCTGAGATTTTGAGGGATAGAAGTGTTCAGAAAGATAAAATTGATGGGGTTACCCAGGAAAATGAGACAGACTTAGATTCCGTAAATCTCACGGAAAAGGCAAGCGGCAATACACAGGTAAGATCTGATGATAATAGTTCTAAGGGTGAGAAAGTTTCTGTCAACTGTCACAATCAAGACAACACAGAACCTAATTCCGATGGAAATAAGACAGAAGACGAAGAGTCGACTGAAAATATTAGCGAGTCAAGTTGTCCCACAAGAGCGTCTTTAAGATCAGATAGTTCTCTTTCTGAAGAACCTCCTGCAGCTGAAAACGCTTTAGAGGCCATCATAGCTACGCTATCCTTGCCCGATAACTGCCGGGGCACGGTGCAGACTGGAAGCGATGGTAACGAAAACATTCCGAGTGGTTCCGAACGAACGTCCGAAGTCGTTTCTGCTGAGAACAGATCTGACTCGGAAGGGAGCGAGGTTGCTTCGGAACAAGTTCGTTACTACATCGCGTTGTATAGATATGACCCGATGACTATGTCGCCGAATGTGGACGGAGCTGACGAAGAATTGCCATTCAATGAAGGAGACATTATCAGGGTAAGTCAGTTTCAGAAACATTGTGGGAAAGGGATTGAATATACAAGTATTATTTAGCAGGATTCCCGGTTGAGCACGACAAAGGTAATAATTCATGTTCAAATCCTAAGTACTCGAACTTAATCCCTGAGATTAAGGTTAGATTTGGAATTAACTCCAATCAAAGATAATCTAAGACGTAATCTCAAGGATTAAATCCGTGTATTTAGGATATTCTGATAAACATTGAACATACTCATGGACTAGACACTCAAAAATGAAACCAAAACAAATTACTGAAGGACAGAAAAACGTTAAAATATAAACATTGGGATGTAATATAAATTATAGTATATAGTATATATGTATATATAGTATATAGTATATATATAGCATATATGTATATATAGTAGCTATATAGTATATAGTATGTATATTATGTAATATATACTATATGTGCTATTAGTATATATGCAGCCTCTTTCAAAGAAGTCGGCTCTGAATGTCATCTGAGAACAGTCTTTGTAATGTTTTTATTTGTCTCAGGTGATTGGCGATGTGGACGATGATGGTTTCCTCTGGGGTGAATGTAAACTCAAGCAAGGATTGGTTCCATCAAATATGGTCTCCGAAGTCGATATCAACGAAGCAGAAGACTTGTTTAACGAATATACCAATGACGTCAGATTACAAAATGAGCTGAATTTACATGACCAAGTCAATGGGGAACTGGACGTCGATATTATTTCGCAGAATCTTGGAGAGACTGGAACTAGTGGTGACAGGTTGTCGTTTTGGGAGAATTTGGAAAGTGATGATTTGCGACCAAGAAAGATGAAAGCTCTGTATGATTATGATCCATTGAGCGATTCTCCTAACGTCGACAGTGAGGTATGAAGTTTAAACCAGTTTCAATTGATAAGTCCAAAGGAGAAGAGATGTATGATGATGCATTTTTAAACTAACAATTTAGCTGTTTTATTACGCCAAATTTTTGGTATTTAACGGAGAAAATAATTAGCTCTATACATTTTTATGAGAAAAAAATTATCTTGCTGCAATTTGTCTGTAATCTCGAATGCAAAGAAACCTTGTTTTTTTTATAATTGAATTGTCATGGAATATTATAGGTTGAATTGAAGTTCAAGTCCGGGGAAATTATTTTCGTTTTTGGTGGGATCCACGACGACGGTTTCTTCGATGTAAGTGGGGCCTTTCCTATTTGAGTCTTTGGAGATGTCCTTTTTTTGCCATTTGTAATTTTCAAGTAGGAAACATTTTTCACATTTGTGCGCAGGAATAATTGCCTCTAGTCACCTTTCTTAGTTCTTTTCTTTTGACGATAAACGAACGATTCAATTCTTCCTGAAAAGGTGTTCACATTCCCCCAAAATTTAACGAGAAATATGCTAAGCTATCGTAATCGCTGGAAGTTGTCTTGAATCATGTACTTTCTGCATCAATCTACATAGTTCATGGGCCTGATGAATCATTGAACACATTGGCGTGCATGTTTTCTGTAAATTGCCCAAAATTCCGAGTATTTCGGCTTGACTATTCGAGGGAAGGATCCCTTATAGCAGCAATGTAAAAAGTGAAGTTGCGGATATTTAACTGTAAAAACTTTTTTGGGTGGATTATTCTCACAATTTAAAGCCAAAATACTCGGGATTTTGCCGAACATTGTCTCCACAGAACACAAAGCCCATCTGCACGCGGTAATATTTGTTTGTAAAAACTCAATTCTGGTTTCTAATTTAGGGCGAATTAAATGGTATTCGAGGTCTTGTTCCCTCAAATTTCTTGAAGCCCGTTGAGGAATTAAACCACGTTGAATTGCTTGCAAATGAAAAAACCTCGGATTCGAAGACAAAATCACCCTCAAATGCACAGGTTTGAAGATTGTCATTTGTCAATCATTTGCAATACGCCAGTTCAAAATTAGCTTTGGATTATATTGATATGTTGTATTCTGCTTTTTTTTTAATTTCCTGCTCTTAACAAATTCTGACATCAAAACTCTAACACACAGTTTGATCAATGCTTGATCCATCGATTTCCGCTTTTCTGGTCAGTGGAAATTACTCGTCTACTTCATTTTAGGAACAGTCACTGAACAACCTCAACCATAGTCCCACTGAAGATGGCGGAATTCCTCACAAGAAAAGGAAGAATATTTTCTCCAAGGGAAGGAAAATGTTTAAGAAAGCTTTCAAGTAGAAAAAGTCACAGGATATACTTCAGTTGGTAAAGTGTGCGCGTATGAATGATGTAGTCAATTGAAAGAGACCAAATTACTGTTTAAGAAGGTTTTAAAACGTATATTTTAATCAAAGAAAAACGGGTAAGCGAAGTAACCTCGATACTTTTTAATGTGTCTTTTATTTAGTTGTTATATACTACTTCTTACTACTTCTTAAAAATACAAGTTGACATCTAACAATATGGCAACTAATATTGAATGTATTCTTTAAATGATCAAAATTTTACGCGTAGTATAGACCTATTTAAAATTCTCAGCACGCCTTATTCAAACCTCCGAGCCCTCGTTAAACTACAAATCACTTTTAGCTTTCGTATATATATTTAATACCAGGTTTAAGTTATTTAAATAACAACTGTACAGATAGTGTATAAAGAAATGCTAATCTGACAACTTCACCTCGTAAATTACTTCATAAACTAGCGTACTTCCAAAATATATCAGAAAATCGTTTAGCCAACGCCACTACGGCCAAATTATGCGATGTTCTCCGAGATTTTTCATCGAACTCAGTATTTTCTTATTTTTTTTAAATTGTTAAAAAAAGATTTGATTTGAACAGTTATAGGAGCCTCAACAATTTTATTTCAAGTAATTCACGATAATGTGGTAAAGGTGGATTACTTTTCTTCGATACAAGACTGCACATTATTTATCCTAAAATATTCTATGTAATATATTTATTGCTGTAAAATGTTCTTGTACTAATTACTGTAAAGCTTATCTTTATATATATACATTCGCAGATTATAACTTATTTTATAGATACTGTATGATAATATTATTATAACAGAGATTTTAATTGCAAATAATTTAAGTAAGTACGAATTAGAAGAATTACTTATTGTTTTATACTGAAAATAAAATAGATCGATATTTAGTGAAATCGAAAGTTTTTGTCAGAATAAATATGTTTTGCATGGAAGAATTGAGCCAAAAATCTACGATGGAATTTCAAGTTTTCTTTCAAAAGATTTGATCCAGCTTGTTATTGCAACGCTCAATTGAAATTAGGATTTGAGTTTTAGCCTTCTTCATACCCTTTCCCAAGTACTCGTACGTTGTTTGAATGACGCTACCCGTGCGCGGGTCCACGCGCGAACTCTGCGTGTATCGTGTTTTTAATTACCCTCGTTTGAATTGTCGCGTCATGATTTGCGCGCGATTCCTGCGTTATCTCTTTTGTCATAATTTCTTTGTAATTTTTAAACGAGTTTGGAATAAAATGAAATTGTCTGAATCCAAAGTGGCAAAGAAATTATGGAAGAGTGGTCGACAGGGAAAGCGAACATTCACGATCAAGAGGCGAAGTTAATTTCGGATCCTTTAACACCTTTAGGTAAAGAAACAATAATTTTGCCTGAGACATTCGTTAGGGTAAACTAATTAACCTTTCGCTATCTGCTAAACGGACATAGGTCAATTAACACTGCACAGAAGAGAGTGAAAATACAATGTTCTTCGTTGAATTATTTACATACGAATATAAGAGTTGGCAATTTTGCTTAAAATGTTCTTGAATAGTTGTTCACTGGTTTGTGTGAGCAATAAATAAGTTTGAATAACTTTTTTAACAATAATATTGTCCGAATTCTTCCGAAAATGCGATAAGCTTTCTTCATGAGGTCTGTTTTGGGTTGCATAAACCATTTACCGTGCCTTGATGTTTAAAAGCTGACATGAACGATTGGCTCAAGGAAAACACCAGCAATATACGGTAAGGGGGAGGTGTTGATATGTTCCGTCTTTGTGTAAACGATTTCTCGAACTTTTTTCTAGGTGAAAAGGTCAGAGGGGGTGAGAAGCAGACATTTTTAGCGGACGAAATATTCGTGGGCCAATCCACTCCCATGGATCGGAGTTTTGAGAACAACGATGAAGGGCCGCCCGAAGCTTACCTTGATGTTTCCCAAGTGGAAATTGCTGAGGGATTTCAGAAGCAACAGAATGCACGCCTTGAAAGGCTGTGGAAACACCAAAGTGAACAAAATGAAAAAATATTTGAGAAGCTGGACCAGTCCATGACATGTCAAAATAGGTAAGACTCTTGATTTAACCGACTCGTCACTGATTTAAGACTTGTATTATTATGCAGGAATTATGCCTCGGGTAAACGGGGAATAGATTTAGCGAAAGTCTGGCGGGAGTGTGAACTATTGAGAGTTGTTTTGTCATTCTCTCTAAGCAGTCAAAACGAGAACAAAAGTTTTCATGAGTTTACTCAGGCCCTACACAGAGGGAGAAAGGGTGTAATTAATACCCCCCCCCCTCTACCCTATGTAAATTCCCACAATAAGTTCAGAACTATTTTGAACTGGAAGAGGGTCAGTGTTGTTACCTACAACACGTCCAGTCTGTTGTGAAGGAAAAGCCGCTGCTTTCTTTGACAAAAAACCCCTGTGTACCGCACGGATGTTAAAACAGGCAAAAGCTTGTTTCTCAACTCCTCTCGCCGACAATGGGCATTCACTCTCCACATGACTTTTGTTGTCAGTCAACAACACAACACAAACAGTCCTTATGACTACACTAACCTGTACGATAAACATCTACAAACATATAAAAGGATACTCCCAGATTCCAACCATTCACTTTAATGCAATGAGCCGTGGCGTGCCTTGTTTACAGAAACGCCTGCTTGCGAGAACAACACGCAAGGCAATTGGATGATTTACGGCGGTACTACGAAGATGAGATAGCCGGCTTGAAAAAACAGCTGACTGACATGAAAAACGTTATCTCTCAACACAAGCAACAGGAAAACGCAGTGAGAGAAGAAATTCAAAAGGAATTCGAAAACGTTTCGCAGGCAAACCTGCAGCTCAGCAGCAAATGCGACGCCCTCGAGAGCGCCAAACAACTCATGCAAAACCAGTTGACCCAAATTAAAGTTCGAAAACAAGAGTTGGAAGGTCAGTGTCAACAGCTTCTCGCTACGAATCAAATTATTGATGGGAGATCGAAAGAGTTGAAGTGGGCAAAAGAGGAGATGGCTGTTAAGATGAAAGAGGCTGATGGTCAGCGGGAGAAACTGCAGACCAAATATGATCTTAACTGTAAAGAGAAGGGTAAGATTGGGATAATATTGTTGTCTTAATGTTATCATAATCAACTCTCATGACATCGCTCAGTGCATTAAAGTACAGACAATTCTGCTTGGGATTAATGCTGAGTGTCCAGATGTGCTGTACGTCGGTATTTTACTTTATCTAATCGCACATAATTTTATTTATCAGTCGAAGAGTACTGCAAGTCGTTGGGGTAACTCTGCATGTATAGTCTCAAGATAGTCCTATGGTATAAATCTCAGTTCATCCAACGACAACTTTCATGTGAAATACATGTTTTATTTAGTCAAAAAGAGGCAAATAAGCTAACACAACTAGAAAAAGTGTCCTGAAATTAGAAAAGTCGTAAAGTTTGATTTACAAATGTTGCAAAATGCGGTAGAAAAAAGACGTGAATTGATTCGGGGATCTGAAGTCGCATTTCGCGCAACCAGCCTTGTTGGCCCAAAAATGAACAAAAGATTTCATTGCCAAATTAACTTCAAGACATCTTCCAATTTCACATTATTTACTCATGTATACATTTTTAGCTGTTTTGAAGAGGTCTAAAGAAGAAATAGAAGAGAAATACAACCAACTTCAGGATGATTACCAGAAACTCTCAGACAAATGTCATAAATGGAAAGATGAGAGTAAGATATATCGGCAGCGAAATAAAGTGCAAGAAACACTCGTTGAAAAGACCAATAAGTAAGATTTTGCGCCAATTTTAAATTCCGTGTCCACCATTCCTAGTTTCCTAGCCATATGCCAATTCAGTGACTGGAATTTTGTATTATTCTTCTTTTCTCAGAAATGTTCGCGAGTTGGAACTTGTAATTGAAACATTGAAAAGAGAATTAGTAAGTTCTTTTATCAGGAACTCCACGTCTTTTATCAGTGTGGATTATTTAACTATTTCCACGCTAAAGGCGGGTTGCTCTCGTTAATTTATCAAATAGCAGTGATCTTCTGGACTAATTCCAAACTAATGGCCACAGATAGTTTTGTTCCCTCATAAACTTGTAATACTTTTATATCCTGCGCGTGGTTCACTAAAAAAATACTAGAATGTGTGCTCGATTGATTCTGATTAGCCAAAAGCACGTCCGGGTAGATATTTCAAATTCAAGATTGCGAAGCGGATGCTTCTTGTTTTCTAGGAAGATAAGAAAGTGAAATTTGAGGTGGAGAGAAGTATGTTTAGTGCAACGCAACAGAGAGTCGATCGTTTGGTTTTACAAAATCGAGATAAAGATTTGACCATTGAAGACCTGGAGAAAAAAGTTGTGTCGCTTGAACAAACGGTCAAGGATGTGTCCGCTAGTTCTGCCAAGGCTGGACTGGTGAGTATTTGAAATGATGGGAACGACGAGGCTGGTTTCTCCGTAATGTTTTAATCATGAGTCAGACAAACAATATAAATGTACATGCAACTTTTTTGACAGAATGAAATCAGAGAGAGCATTCAAAGAGATAAAGATATGTTAAAAAGGGTTAGTTTTATGGATTTTTCTCCATGAAGCGTATCGTGGCGATGCGTATTCTTACTATTGTATATGTCTATTATATTGAATGCTATCGTCTCTTGCCATGTTCATAGAAAACAATGATATACACACAGAGTTTTTCAAATGAAAAACAGTTTAAAATGCGTTTGAATTCGATGTGAAAAAATATGAGTAATCCTATCAGGATTTTTTACACCAAAATATTATGGTAATCGGACACCTCATATATGCCATCTACTGTTCCCCTGGTGTCATTACTAAACACCACCCTCTATTTAAAAGGGTCGGTAAACGCCCTTGCGACTGGTACTCAATTCAGTTCTTCAGTTCTCTTTCAAAAATCTTTCTCGTTGCAGGTTCTTAACGAATACGATTCTCTCACCAAGAAACATGAAAAGACAAAGGTACACATTAAAAAATATTACATATGTTAAAGAAACCTCGTGCAGTCTTAACCTTGAACGTTTTATTTAATTATAACCAGAAAGATGGCAACCTAAATTTCCGCGATTTCTGTCGTCTAACAACATAATAGGGTAATTTAGCATGAGACGTGAACGTCAAAGACGACGTGAAAATGGCGAATAAATGGCGTGATGCGCCCAAATATGGACATGCCACGCCATTTTCACGTCGTCTTTGACGTTCACGTCTTCATGCTAAATCTCCCTAATATCACTAGTGATTCACAGAACGCATTAGGTTATTACAAAACCAGAGTATAAACTGCACGATATCTTTAACGTGTGTTCGAAAGAGCGTACAATCATCTACTATGTATAATAATTCTATTTTCTTGGTTATCAAGGGACACGTGTATCTTTTAGAAGGAAAGTTGGCTGAAAGTCAAGGGGAAGGTCAAAATTTACGAAGGTAAAGGCCTTTTTACCCCTGCGATTTTCTTGCGATTCATACATTTTCTTCTTGATAGATGGAACGAGTCAAACTTAGCCCTACTCCAATGTGCACGAGCTCCTATTTGAGCATTTGTAACAAATTCACTCGTTCGTATCTATCAAAAGGGGAAAATTGCAAATTAAATCGCAGCATCGCGAGTGTGAACGGGCCTTAAGTTGCATGCAAATCTGGGATATGAATAAACTATCATAGTCCTGTCTAAAGTCTGTTCTACAGAAAACAATAAAATGCACCTGGTCTACGTTCTATATATAGTACATAAAGCAAAAGGTTAAACTGTAAAATTGTAAAAGTTGAAGCGAAAAGTTGTAAAATGCTTGAAACATGGGCAAGCAAATTCTAGTACGCCTTCCGCTTGCTTTGATAAAAATTAGTCGAACATGCAAATTGTGCATTAAATCTTTTTATAGGGAATTATCCGAGGCTAATATAACTAAGCGAAATTTGGAAACTTCACTACGAGAAGTCCTGGGCAACCAGAGCAGGTAGGAAGACCGTGATACGTTCTTCTCACAAAATTTTACCAAAATGTTTTCACTTCAGCAGGAAATAATGCAGCCCTCTCCAAAAAAACTTCGTATTGGCTTTGAGTGATGGATGATACGGTGAACTGTCAAGTAATTTTGGAACAGTTTACATTTGAAGTGTTTCATTGTAGTTGCCGCAGGATCGTCGAAAGATCAAGCAGAAGAACCTGGGAGCAGCCAACCAATTTTAGCCTTGTCACTGATGAGATTAGAGTTGAAAACAGTATTAAAGAAGACGGAGAAAGGTTGAAATATGATCACTATAAGGAGAGCACGCGACGATTTAGGTATGGAAGTTTCAACCTTGGTTGAAATCATTCCATTTTTCAGGTTTGACTTACACTACCTACTACAGCCATTAAGAGATCAGAATTCTAGTTGAAAAACATGATTAACAAGCCGTTAGTTCTGAACTTCATGATTTTAGTGTTCAAATCGGAGTATTAAAGTAATTTACGCTCTCCGAACTATTAGCAATCGAGCGGAAAGAGATGAAATGGTTGACCTGTCATCGGTAAAGCCATCAGATGTTGTCGAGGGTCGTGGATTCACAAAATATCCCAATGGCTCTAAGAAAATGCACGATCGGGAATACGAGGAAGAAGATAGTTTGGTCTGTGCTTATTGCAATCAACTTTATAAGAAAGGTCAGTAATTATTTACAGCATGTGGACCCATGACCATGTTCAATCCATTGCAAAATATTGCCAAATTTAAATACTTTTTTACCTCTCTGAAGCAAAATTTCTCGCACGTTCTCAAATTCAGCATGTATACAAATTCAAATATATGGCACACAATTGGTGTAGCTTGTTTATCAAATGTATTATAAACTATTCAAACTTTTTTTCAGAAAAGGATGTAAATCATGACAACGGTGCATCGCGGAAAAAGCCAGCGAGTGGAATTCATTGTTATGCTCAAAAACACGATTACTGGAGAGTCAATGGCGAGTCAGGCAAAGGATCATTGAACTCGAAAAGTAAGTAAAATACCATATAGTTATATGGTTATGGGAAATGCTATATTAGTCTGAAAACTGAATATATGAACGCTTAACCTAGCAAGTCCTTAAGATTGCTGGGAGAAGGAGAAACAAGTGTGACACCAACGTCGTTTTTCCTTTTATAATTCAGGTAAATACAAGTCAAAGATGGAGGTTAGACTTTACGTGCTATTATTTGTGAAGTTAAATACCTAGCTATTAAATAGCCCGATTGTAAGTTCCTAGGGCTATATACTGTGTTTTGTGCTTTGCTTTATCGAAAGGGGACAATATTTTCTTATGTTTAGATAATATTACCCAAACCCAAAAAATACCCCCAAAAACGAATACTCGGACACTAGCTTGTGATATAATACTATAATAAATAGCTTGCTTCTCCTGTTTGCATTTTGGGAGAATATACCGACATGTAATCTTCAAATCAGCAAATTTGCTATTTAGCCCTGTTCGAAGACTTTAGGTTCGGTTGATAACGGCGGACGTCGGGCAGACTTCGGGCTTGATATTTCCTTATGTCATGCGCAGCCTCACTCAAAAAATTGAAACTGTTATAATTGTTATTTTATTTTTGAATTATTCAATTGTTAATATTTATTTAAATTCTCTCTTACTATCGTTCGATAAAATTTTATTTGTTTTCATTGAGATGCACGATTTCGGTTATCTAAGTATATTTGTCAATGGAGGATGTAATATCAGTATTGTTTTTTCAGAATGATGCGGCCGTTGACCGCAGGGCTATGATGGTGTCAGCAGAAAAAAGATTTCTGGAATTGAGCGAACAGCGCAGGCGCGTAAGTGTTTAGCATTCCGCGATACGGATGTTGAAATATGGTGGTCAATGCAACCTTTTTTCCCTGCGGCGTGTGTAGGAGATAGAGACATGGGTTCGAGATTGTGCATACATGATGAGATAAGCGAATGAAAGTTAGAATCAAGTCCAGCTTATTTGCTGACGTGCATTTCTTTCTTTTGTTTTTCATCAAGTTAGAGACTGCCTTGAGAAAATATTCCTGGTCGCAGATGTCGAGACAGGAGAAAGAAGACAAGGTTAGTGCCGAGTATATTATGACTGAGCTGAAATTTGAAATTCATTTTAAATATTTACTAAATACAATTTCAGATGAATAGTTTAGGGGCTCATACAAAACCCACGTAAATTTGGTAGACGTAGGCGAAAACACTTTAAAACAGTGGCGTAGCCAGCCTGACGATTTTGTCCCGCTATGTAAATTTCGAGTTACTATAATTATTCATGTCTTTAGAAATCTATTGTTTTCACAGTCAGTGAACACTAAAATATAGCATAGCGGGACAAATCGACAGGCTGGCTACGCTACTGTTTTAAAATAACACTATAAATTTAATTACCCAATTTGAATTGTATAAAACGTTTTAAATACTGGCAGTTTGTATTTAGGAACGTATTTAAATATTCTTTGTCCCCTTTTGCCTCATCCATTATCGCTACGTGGTCCTCTTTTGTGGAAAAATCTTGAAAAATGCATATTTGCACTCTTTTAACAGAGTTTCTTGGAAAGCAAATTGGACGAAGTTCTTAAAGAACTGGGGAAGATTCGTCTACAATTGAGGAGTAGCGAAACTGATTAGTCCCAGGAACTGTCGCGTTGCGATGCATGAATAACAAACATGTCGGTGAAAATGTCTGGCGCCGGGAATATATAGAGAAAAATAACCTCAATATGTGGCCTTTGTACTTTTTGATTGAATGTAATATACCAATAGAATAACAAAACGCGCATTTCTTTTTACGGGAGTAATTTCGTAAGTATACCGTTGTCTACACAAAACGCCCTGGTCCCAGTTGTTCAAAGCTAGGTTAGCGCTAACCCTGGGTTAAATTTTAAACTAGTGTTTACGTAGAACAAGCATTTGACCATTAAAACGGCGTGGTTATCAATGTCAAAATATTTGACATCATAATCAAAGCATGGTTATATTGTTTAATGTTTGTATATGAGCACGAAACATGCTTGCAACTTTACATAGGACAAGCATTTGACCATTAAAACGGCGTGGTTATCCATGTCAAAATATTTGACATCATAATCAAAGCATTGTTATATTGTTTAATGTTTGTATATGAGCACAAAACATGCTTGCAACTTTACATAGGACAAGCATTTGACCATTAAAACAGCGTGGTTATCAATGTCAAAATATTTGACATCATAATCAAAGCATGGTTATATTGTTTAATGTTTGTATATGAGCACGAAACATGCATGCTTGCAATTTTAATTAGGACAAGCATTTGACCATTAAAACAAGGTGGTTATCCATTTCAAAATATTTGACATCATAACCAAAGCATGGTTATATTGTTTAATGTTTGTATAAGGGCACGAAACATGCATGCAACTTTACATAGGACAAGCATTTGACCATTAATACAGCGTGGTTATCAATGTCCAAATATTTGATATCATAACCAAAGCATGGTTATATTGTTTAATGTTTGTATATGAGCACGAAACATGCTTGCAACTTTACATAGGACAAGCATTGACCATTAAAACAGCGTGGTTATCAATGTCAAAATATTTGACATTGTAATAACCAAAGCATGGTAAACAGAACATGGAACATTCTGCCTGATGAACTAAGACATCAATTATTATTACCGTACTGCTTTAAATCTGGTCTATGAATAAAATAATCCACGGACATGGAAAATTGCCTAAATTGCCGTTAAATCGTACGTTGATACGTTTCGTTTTCCCTGTTTTCATATCTTGTTTCGCTCTGCTTTGTTTTGTCTCGCCGGTTTCGTTTCGTTGTTTCGTTCTGTCTTGTTGTATCGTATGGTTGCGTTTCATCACTTAAATGTGCTCTGCTTTTATTGTAAGGGCCCACTGTAATTGGTGTAAACTGTTGTGGTGTCCCCGCCAAATGAGTGTTACAAAGTAAATTGTGATAGCAATCTCAAAAAGCCCCTTTATGTGGCTGGAAATTTTGAATTTTTAATCAATGAGCTCTATGGTCTTAATTGATGAAAGAAAATGTTGAAAGTTCTATAGAATTTCACCTGCTTTTATATTAAAATCTCCATAAAACCCTGGATACATACCTAATATAACCTAATATACAGGTCAGTGCGCTGAGCCAACATGTGGAACCGTGTCCGTTATTACATGAAGTACCCGTAACCTGATCAAAACAAAAATGGCTGTTGTTTACAAAAATTGTTACAAATTGTGAGTGTTAAATTGAAGCATAGTTATCACTAATGTTCAGCTCGTCTGCTAAGGGTAATAAAGATGCTTTCGTCAACCGCAGTAAGGCGGCAAGAGATCAGAGAAGTTTGGAAAAGCAGAAGGAAAGGGCCGTTATTAAAATACAGGTAACTGGAGCCTCGCGGTTTACTGCCTTGACTTTGAGTTTTCAGTTTTGCCTTGACACTTGACAGTCGACTCGCGATCGTTTGAGGTCAATAAACTATTTCGAATTTTACAAATTCGTGAGGGCGAGTGAACGTACTTGTTAATTAAGACGTCGGGTTTTATTAAGATTTGATATAATTTAATATATGGAAATATCCTTTCTTGGAAACAGCTACTTATTTCTCGGTAATCTACACGATAACACCTTATATGAAATATTAAACACAACCAAATTCAAGTTTGGTTTTAAAAAAATCAATAAGATGTTGGTTATATTACAATGGCCAGCTTGTGTTTTTTTAAAGGCAACAAGTTTAAAAACTATTTTAAAAAAATGAGCCACGGCTCACTAGAAGATACAAGTCTCGGAAATGCTAGGTGCTAAAAGGGCTTCAAATTCTCAGAATTGTCTTGCTCAATACCTGTGGCACCCAGAATGAGCCTCTTTCCTTATTCAAGTACCTGTAATGACATGTTAATGTTGCACTGAACTGTTGCACTGAATCCATTCAGCCCCTCATTAATAAGGCCAGCCTATGTAGTTTTACATTCATTCTTAATACATTGTATGTATTGATATTGTGCATCACATAAATCTACTAACATACTTTATATTAAATTATATAGGCTGCAGCAAGGTCATACTTGGTGCTGTTGAAGTTGAGAAGTCAAATTCGGTAGGATTCTCAAATTTGCTTACATTTGTTTTAGTACAAACTACACTGTACATAGTATAAGTATATACATACTGTCGTATAATCCACGGAAAAATTAGGCTGGTATGGCACAGCCATACATTATTAAAGTTTAGAAAAGCTATTAACCAAACAATGTCTTTATATTATAGTGACAAATTAGTTTAAAATTACCAGTATCAGTATGCATCCTACTGTATATCATATCTACTGTTAATAAGTAGGTACAATTTTTAAGGTTATATGAATAAGCACTGTTTTTATTCCATTTAGGGATGAAATCAATAATTTTCTTATCACTTCAAAAGAAACAAAACCAACAGGTATTAATTTTATGTTCATTTTCAAATTCCTGAGCCCTGTGAGCGTGAACAAGGTGGATATGCTTGTTTTTCCCGCCCGTCTTGGAGAGTAGACAACGATAAATGATACTCAATTTTCATATATATACACTAAGTCTGAATGGTTGCTTCAATATAGTAAATTGAAACTATTGAAAATTGAAAGTTGAAAATTGAAAGCAGTGCATTTAGAAAAACCCTGTTAGATGTTATATACAAGAAGTTAACCACCTTATAGGTTCTTCTTGCCCCTAAATTTTATGCAAAATTGAAAATGCCTCAATCAGTGGTTTGCATCCTGTGACATTCTGAAGTCAGAATTTATTTTAAAGGCTTGGGTCTCTTTCAAGCGATCAAAAAATTTCTATTTATTTTTCAAGAGGACAAAGACAAGGAAGTAAGAAATGACATTAAAACATTATTCATAAATAACAAAAGTGATTCGTTTTTTACCTACTGTCAATTAATTCATTTTTCATTCGTTACTGAACCTAGACATTTAAGGCCCAGTTACAAGGTGCAATTTTTCTTGCAACTTGCAATGCAATTCTGCTTTTGAGAGATGTATATTTGGGAACGAAGAAACTTTTGTGTTTATTACACTTCATGCACTTTTCTTCTGCAAGACTCTTCACTAATTTACATTTCATCGAATGCAATTTAGAATTGCATTGGAAGTTGCAAAGAAAAATTGCACTGTGTAACATGGCCTTTAGACTTTATGTATTTCGCATGAGTGTTTCATTAGGTTGTGATTCTAATCTTCACCTGATCATTTTTATTTATTGGACAGTTATATATTAACTTTTTTAGCGATTTCATTTGATATGCAAAACATGTCTGGAAAGCATGGAAGATAAAATCTCCAAGGTTAGAAAGACACTTCTATTTTTAGGGGTAGGTTGGGGGTGGTATTAAGCCCCTACTCTCATGTCAGGTTAGGATAATAAACATATTTAGTTTGAGAACTGGAACGCTAAGGACAATGTGAATTTGCCATTTACAATTTTCCATCTGCGTCCAATCTAAATCTACCTAATATGAAAGGAATGAATGTGGTTTGATATTAAACAATCAACCTTTCAGAAAAGCAGAATTGTATAATCTTAAATCATTTAAGAAATAGAAAACATTTTCCGTGTTTCTATACAGTTATAGAAACACGCGTGGGAGTTTGGGAGAACGAGAAATAATCAGTGGGAAAACGAGCCCGTAGGGCGAGTTTTTCCACGTTATTTCGAGTTCTCCCAAACTCCCACAAGTGTTTCTATAACTGTATAGAAACACAGGAAAAAATGTTTTCTATTTCTTTTATAATATAACTCAATAAAAAGATTTTGTACAAATATTATGATTTGATTCAATTACAAATTCTCATTACATCGCTTCGCTTGTCAAGTTCGGCGGGAAAATTCCCGTGTTTCTATACAGTTATAGAAACACGCTTCTCGACCAATCAGCACGCGCGTACTATAAATGTTATATTATAATGTTAAATGTAAATTAATATACAATCTTCGTGCATTGGCCTAAATCTACTCACGCGATTTGTCAAAATCTTGGTTTCTTGTTGCCTGGCGACAGATCATAGGAATCATCATCAGTGATCATAATTTATTCACAATAACCCATGAAAATCATGGTTTATTCAAAATTATACAATCTTCGTGCATTGGCTTAAATCTACACGCGATTGGTCAAAATCACTGAATCACGTGGTTTCTCGTTGCCTGGCGACAGATCATGGGAATAATAATTTATTCGCAATAACCCATGAGAATCATGGTTTATTCAAAAATGACAGCCTGCAACGAAGCTTGGAACTTCAATGCAGCAATCAATGAACTTAGATTGTATATTAAAATGTTAGAGACTTTATGTTCGTGTTTTGTTGACAAATAAACGCACTTGCTGACCATGTACAATGAATTCGAAATTTCAGTTTTGCAATATTGAAATTTCTCGTTCATTGTATGGTCAGCGCGTGCGTTTATTTTTGAACAAAACACTGACAACAGTCTCTAACCCTTAATTAATTGTAATCAGTAATGCTCTATTTTAATTGGTCGACCGAAATGGCTCTTTGGTCCTCTGTATCATAGCGTTAATTTCTAATTCTGACCTTGCTCTTTCCTTGCCCCTCGATGCATGCCAAAGCGATGAAAATTTCGAACAAAATGTGGTTTGACATTCAATTGTTTCCTATCAAAAGTTGAAATGCCAAAATCTATTAAGCAAATTTAATAACAAGCAAGGGGAACTAAAAGTTGAAATATAATGCTCATACAGTATATACAAAACTATACAAGGATTCTTTGTTCCGTATATTTAGATGTGGTATATCTATCCTGCATTGACGAAAGATTGGGCTCTTTTATGGATAACCCAGTTGAAGAAAGTTCTCGTCATTTGTTCCCGCTATCTAAAAAAACTCAAGGTAACAACTGGCAACAAGCCTCTTTTATACCGGCAAATTTTCTTCGGTCAATCTTTTGAGTTTTGAGTTCTAAAATCTAACAACCTATAGCTCGGAATTTCCCGATAAATCTACTTCACTCCCGAATTTTCAAGAGTAGAAATGTATATGGTTTGAATTTATATAGGGAGATATATCTGTTAGAACTGATGAGCTTTCCCGTTGTTGTTGCAAATGGGTTAAAAGTCTACAATAGTGATTTATGTTTAATGTTCATTCCACTTTTTTATTCAGCCAACTTCTGGAAGCGACACAAAACTTATCAGTATTTACTTAGGCATGGTAAGTAATATGGAAAGGCCACAGAAATATTTGAAAATTTATGCACAGAAATTTCATGTTAATACAGTTCCACTGAACTATACCTTTAAAAGGAGAATTTGCGAGTGAGAATTTTGTCTTGCCTTACAATTCGTCCTGTTATGAGAGTGATGAGACCGATGTTTAGTATTTGTGATAATATAAGATTTCGTTTCACCCTATTGTATGTCGTGTCTGTATCTTTTCTTTTATTTATACAGATCGCTAAATTCACGGATTGCAATTCTTGGAATATCATATCGATCAAAGGAGGTAGGGTGAATCCGAGTTTAAGTGCATGCAATTCCTTGTTTTGATCGATGTAAACGAGTGAATAAGTTATAGGTATTTAGATAGAGGCACCTGAAAATGAGCTAAAAGCTATCCGCATGTATCGTTTAAATCTGTTGATAGACAATCCCTACGGCTGGCGAAAAAAAGTATTGGACATTCAAACCTTTTATGAAATTGAATCGTATTTCAAATACATCTTTCCATCATCTTTCTGAAAGGTCTATCCATGCAGCTGCATGTTTTAACTTAAGCTAAGTCAGGTTATCCTTTGCAGGGAAAAAGTGGAAGCCTGGGTTGAGTCTGTTATGCAAGAACGTTCTTCTTCATTTGGAAAAGAGCGAGTTTTATTCTTCATTAAGGGTACGTTCTTGTTGGCTCTCGAATTCAAATCGTCACGGGGCCGAGAAAATAAAATTTTCGTAGGCTAGTAACAAAATATATACAGAGACAGAGTCATTGCTCGCAATATGATGAATTCATGTATATCTGTTCTCACACGATACCAAACCTCCACATTTCATGCAGTAGGACGGAATTCAACCCCGTCTCGTTACTCGTATCTCTTCTTCTACTTTTCTTCATTTTTTCTACGGCGAGGCGTTTTCTATGCCTAGAGTCTCAACAGCGTCGTCGAGATGTTTTTCCTTTAGTTTTCAGAAACAATGATATATTATACGATATTTTGTTCAACAGGAACTCGCAATAAGTGGTCTTTGCCGCAATGATCCAGCTCTACGCTCCACCCAACTTGCAGCAGTCTTAACATTATCCTTGAGGTAAACCAATGTTATTTGGTATTTATTTTTATTATTTTGGTATTTGGTTTTGGTAAACCAATTGTTATTAGACTGTTTTGGCAGTTAAAAAATAAGTAATAAAATTGGTTTTACCAAATGAAATAGATTAAAAAGAGATCTGAGACAAACAATTTTAAAATAGTTGCTATAATAATCTTATTTTACAGTGGATATTGTATGAATTTATTGTCTATGTAAATGTTTCGTGTTTAGCATTACAGCAACGTTTTCTTTTCACGTTTATAGAGTTTCTGAAGGGTCCGGATTTAATGAAAAATCGATGAAATTATTTCAAGTTAATATAATGTCAATCCCCGGACTATTTCTTCATGTCACAAACATATCACCACAGGTAATGTGCATCCATACTATGGTTACTATGGTTACTATGATTACTTTGGTTCTATAACCAGCGTAAAAAAACGCGCCACTTACAGTAGTTATAACAATCTTGCAAACAATTTGTAGCAAGTCCATTAACATGTCTGTCTACTCATCCTATGCATGTATACATTGCTTGTCCCAGAATGTACCCTTGGAGGTCTTGAATACCGACATTCAGTATTATATATTACCTACTAAGATTGCATAAACAGCGTGTGACCATGGATAACTTGCGACCATGTTCTCAGGCAAATATCAATAGGCCATTTTGCAATTGTTCACTTTTTTAGTTATATCTTCCCACGAGATAGTTTACATTTAAAAAATTTGTTTACAAATTTCTTTTTAGACATTAGATCTGGCGAAACAGTACACGTTGCTGTCGCGAAGTTTGAAATTCTTCAACAGCGCCAGCAACTGGAGTAGTGTGTTTGAATGTTTGCATGGAAACAACTCTCTTTGTCTTCTTGGTAAGATCTGGTTTTGCTGAGAATGATGTTGTGTGCTCCCTGACCATTTGACAGGGAAGAGACCGGTCCTATATGTTAGCGTGATAATCTCATAGTGACATTGTTGGTTGTTAGTTGCTTACCTGAATCCTTAATTCAGAAATTTACATCAAGTTCTGGTCCTGCTACAACCCCCCTCCATCCAACGAGTGTCCAGGAGAAGGGTTTCATTGTTGGCTAAAAATATTGGAAAATATTTCAAGACTCCGATAATATAATTTCTTTCCTTCTTTTTAGCTAATCTAATTTATTTAATCGATGTTGATAAAGAGGTATGTGGTACATGAACAATCGATTTTAGTTCTGTTAGAGTTTACTGGTTGAAAACATTTAAGAATTTCAAACAAGCGCCCTCGGAAATCTTTCACTGGTAATTAATATACTGTTGAATATTCTTCTTGCTAAAATTTAAAATCTTTTTTCGTTTAGAGTTTCAAATCAACCATTCCAGAATTTTTGGTAAGCTGATTTCTAAATTTCTGGACATATTAAGCCCGAATGAAACGCGGAGAAGTCCATCGCAAGTTATACTTACTTTGACTTGCGCGAGACTGCATGGTCAAACGATAGACAAGCCAACGCAAGTCTTCGCAAGGAGACGCTCAAACGAGGTACAAGCAAGCACAAGCAAAAGCTTGCGATGGACTTGCGTCCTCGTTTGATTCGGGCTTTATGTTTAGATTAAAAGCATCGACAAATATTTTGTCTAAAGTCTTGAAATTCCAGCAGCAAATGCATGGAGTTTTTCAATAGCTTCACTTAGGGATCTGTACCAACCTATACGAACAAGCTACATGCTTTATTGTTTGACGATAACGAAAAAAACGCAATGAACTATCGAAATTTACTTTTAAAAGAATGAATCATAAACGCTGTTCACTGTTCTTGCAAAAAACTAATCACAACACTCGCGATCATATTAAGTTGAGCTTACTGTCACTTTGACGCGCAGTGGCGTAGCCAGCCTGACGATTTAGTCATGCTATGCAAATTTTATGTTATTATCATTATTCATTTCTTTAGAAATTCATTGTTTTCACAGTCAATGAACACCAAAATATTAGCATAGCATGACTAAATTGTCGGGCTGGCTACGCTACTGTTGACGCGCATGCAGGACAACTTGTTACGTCAAATATTACGCTTTTACCGCATGAATATACTAATTTGGGATGCATTTTTAGCTGTAAACTGATCACGTTTTCTATGTTTAATATGATCTATGTAATGAAAAAGCTTTTTATTGTCATCGATTGATCTAGTCGGCTGTAACAAAGATTCTGGTCGACGTTCAGTCATTCGTGTCGAAAGACAAATCCTCGCTGGCCAGTTGGCATCCGATATTTGGCTGGTACAAAGAAAACTGTGATTCTCAGCTGAATGCTTCCATCGGCCGTATCATAAGACAACTTCAAATTCTCTGGAAACGAAGTACGATCGAAATCTTATTCCAAAGTCTGCCATCATTGCCCCAGGACTCTGAAAAGACCACGGCGAAAAGTAAAGGTATTTCCTAACGTCGAAATGTGCACTAAATACATGCATGCAATGGCGTAGCCAATTTCGATAATTGGGGAATCAATTTCTTTTCAAATCGATTGTCTTTAACGCCTCCCTCCCCCAATCACGTATCAATGCTACCCGACGTTTACATGCACTTGCGAATTTTGCTGCGATTTTGGTTACTGATGTCCAAATCTTATTTATACACATCAGAGCATTCGTAACTAGTCACTCATTCGCATCTACCAAAAGAAGAAAATCACACATTAAATTGCACTTAAAATTGCAAGTGTTAACGGGCTTATAACTCTTATAATTCATAGTTTATAATGTTTATATAGTTTATCTATTAACACTTATATTTTGCTTAAAGTATTAAAATAGTTGTATGTAATTGTATTTATATTGTATAAAAAGCGTTACCACTTTTCGAAGACCTACCTTAATTCATAGGGTTAATGACGAATGCAGTTTTTGCACTGATCTTCTGTTTGATTCACGTATAGCTCCTGATGGTCGGAGGAAGCTTCTAGCTCGACTGATTACTGGAAGGTTTACTTCACGACGAGAAGCAAATTTATCCTCGCCTCGAGTCGTACAAATCCGCAACACATGTGTCATGTTTGAGCTGGTTCTCAACTCGTTAAGTCAGTTGAAAATGGATGTGCTGACAGGTGAGACTGTTTATAGGAAATATTTATTTATACCGTCATTTATACAGGTATTCGAACCGTCGTAACCTAGTATAGGTCTGCTGAAAGAGCTTTCGACTAGGAAACCGATTGTATGGTGGGTTCAAAATCCCACCGTAGTCGAGGGAGCTTTAGCAGTGACTACGAGTTCGACTACGAGTACGAAATTCGTCATTCTCGCGCGTTGTTTGCTTACGCCATCAGCCAAAACTCTTTAGTCGCCGAGCTTTTGAGTAGGAAATTTGCCAAAAAACTCGTACTCAAAAACCCGGGGACTATACGAGTTTTGGCTGATGGCGTAAGCAAACAACGCGCGAGAATGGCGAATTTCATACTCTTAGTCACTGTTAAAGCTCCCTAATTTTCCAGCTTCCGCGGTTGGTAACTCACAGAGAAAGTGATGACGTGAGCATACAGGCTGACATAAGCGGATAGGAGCTTCTAAAATAGAGCAACACTTGAACATAGTTCTTTCCGTTCTATACTTATTGTAAACTTGTTCTAGCACCATTACTGCATAAGATGCAGTAGCTGTATAATTCACCTTATTCCCAATCGTGATTAACCCCTAACCTGGAAGTCCATCGTCCACCTGGAAGAATGAACAGGCCAACAGGAAGAATTTGTGCTGAAATAAAACATGTAGATTTTTTCGGTATTCCGTGGTTCCCAAGCCTCCATACATCACATCATGATCACCAATCACTAATCATCTTCTTTCCGTCATATTTTTGTTTTCTCTTACTCATAGGTCTCAGTTTCAACGAGGAGTTTCTTCTACGACTATTAAAGTTCTTGCAAGAATTAGGCCCTGATGGTGGACTGAGTTTGATACTGAGTTTTGTTTCTTCGGAATCTTCACAAATGTCGACCTCCATTCAATCTTTGCTTATTTTGTTTTGTGATTGCTGCGGTCATCTCATTCCGTAAGTATCGAGTTTAATCTGCGGTTAGGGCAGCTGCGCTGTGTTTTAAATTTTCGATATATCCCAACCCTTGGGTTATATATTATAGGTTAGATTTTTATAAATTGGCGTATATGTTTCAAATCTTTCAGTACATACAGTTTCGTTTGCCCTCTTCTTAGAAATATAGCAGTTCAAAATGTAAATAAAGCGCTGTCTAGATTACACTCTGTATATATACACTATATAGCTCCATTTACGTAACTGCATGATCTAAGCTTTTCCACTTTCTTCCATTCCTGCTACTCCTGCAGGAGAAAATAGCATGCATGTGTAAATTAACCAGCGTTTAAAAGGAGTAAAAATTGAATCGGACCAACTTATATTCTTTTCAGCATTGTGGATGATTATGAAATGTACGAGAAACAAAAGCCATTCAGTTTGGAAGATCTGACCGCTTTATCAGGGTTTTTAAACACGCTGACTTATAAACTACTGTGGAACAGACCCCGCGGAAAGAGTAAGATTTATAAAATCTTAAATTTTTGTATGTAGCTATGTTGCATTATCTGATCAAATAAAAGTTGATTGAGTGGTATGGACCGTTCAGTCCAGATTTCTATAGTTCAGTGGTTGATTTTCATCGCCACAAACTCGCAAACTGACATTCTTCTATGGTTCTAGAAAATTCTGATGTGGTCAATCAACTGGACAACACGGACCGTCTACTGTCTTCGGTTTATTCACTTCTGATGTTAATTTATGACAGGGATTCTCGTAGACGCTTCACGCCAGAGAATCACTGGTTAATCAAGTAAGAAAACAACATTCTTTTCCATCCTGCCCTTGTATCCATAACCTCTGTCGATATGTACTTACCTTGATGTTCATACCATTCAAGTGGCTGTCATATTTTGCTCTTGCCTTGCGTAGGCCTTTCTGCCGTTGTGGAAAGGCCTTTACCTTTTGGCCTCGGTCCCTTTATGTCACATTCATAATGTAGAGCAACAGAAACGTTGGCGTTTTGCCATGATCTAAAATTTATCAACTTTGCTTAATTCATGGACATTTATGACTCCTTGTACATCAAGATTTGCATGGTTCGTCTGCATGGTAACCCTTGCTCGATTGGATTAAGGCATCTTCATTCACTACCTTTTTATGGGAAGATATCAGTAATATAATTGATTGGAGATAAAATTTTACCTTTTACAGAGAACTGAAAATTGGTTCCTTTAAATCTGAGTTAACAGCAGGAAAGCCAAGAGCGAGTGAAGTTTTACAAATGATTCCTCACGTCGTTCCCCATAGAGAGGTAGGAAACATGATGTATATTTATTACCTTCAATCTCCTTCTTCTTCAATGTATTCTTCTGAAAGCTTCGTACAGTCTCTAAAGTTTTCACGAAAAGGTTATCATTTTTCGGCCCGTAATATTTACACAAAAGTATTCAAGATTTTCTGGAATTTAAATAGGCTTTTCACATTTGAATATTTCGCCACCGAACTTTTCAGGAAGGTAGAGCCTTCATATCTCGAGTTTCTGATTTGAATTGTTAAATATATTGTCAAATTATTCTCTTTTCTGATCCTAAAGTTAGTATTTCACCTTCTTTTCTTAGCGCGTGAAGATCTTCCGTAACTTGGTTCAACAGGACAAACAGTCGCTTGGAATATCGATTGATCAGGAAGACTTCAGCGCCAGCTGCATGTTTGTCAAAGTCCGCAGGAATCAACTGCTTGAGGTTTGTCAAATCAACTATGTATGCTTATAGCTTCAGTCTGAGACAATGAGTTGACACTGCCGCAGCCTCTTTAAGTATTGAAGCATTTGGATTGCCTCCTTGCGTGCCTAAAAAAAACTACTTTATACTTACACTGAAGCGAATTGTAAGCCACATGTATTTTTACATTATCCTATTAGTTACCAAAGATACATGTCAGCTCGGGAGCTATAATAGAATTAATGTACTCAATTCTAATGCAAGTCTGTTTGGAAATTAATCTGACTATTCCCTTTTGTCCAGGATGGGTACAAACAATTATCAAAGATTCCTATTCAAAAGCTTAAAGCAACGATAAAAATCAAATTCGTCAATGAGTATGTAGGTAGACCTTTTCTTTCTTTAGTATCGTGGCAATGAGTTGGATGAATTTCTCAATGCATGTGTTTCTCCGTTTACAATCTAGGGTTTAGACGAAGCTGGTATCGATCAAGACGGGGTGTTTAAGGAATTTCTTGAGGAAACAATCAAGCAAGCTTTTAATCCACAGCTCAATTTATTTAAGGTAGAAATCTTTGTTCTTTCAGTCAGCATTGTGTGTAGGCTATCATCGTAATCAATATTCTAACCTCATTACCACAATCCATGATGACCAATCACGATGACCATTGTAACAATGATATTACTCGTAATCATGTGCATAATCACAATTGTTGATCATCACGATCACGATCGTAACTAAAATCTTACTCGTAATCATGTGCATAATTACAGTTGATGATAATCACTATATGACAATCCTAACGATGATCTTATTCGTAATTATGTCCATAATCGCAGTTGATGATAATCACGATCACGCTCGTATCGATGATCCTACTCGTAATCATATTCATAATCATAGTTGATGATAATCACGATCGCATTCGTAATCCTAATCTTATTCGTAATCATGTCCATAATCGCAGTTGATGATAATCACGATCACAATTGCAGTTATGATCTAAATCCTGATGATGGTCATATTAATCATTAACGATCACGATTGTAATCATAATCACGATTGTAATCATAATCACGATTAAAATGATCATACTCGTGATCGTGAGACGATTGACAATCGTAATCTTAATTCCCGCATGAACCCAGCAGTTAAAAACAGACCTTATTCTCATAATATCTCAATGTAACTCATTAGCTCACTCAAGATCAACGACTTTACCCGTCGCCAACATCTTGCATCCACGACAACCACCTTGCTTTGTTTGAGTTTGTCGGGAAAATGTTGGGAAAAGCGGTGTATGAGGTAAGTTACACCTTGGTTATACTGATTGTGCTCTTCACATTCTGAGATATAAGTTTAGCCCAGTAAACTCTAAAAAGGCTTACCAGGATCCAGGATCGAATATACCATGCTCCGGTATATTCCACCTTACCAAGATCGAAGATACCATGGCCAAATCCCGGTATAATCGTACTTCACTAATTTTTTATCGCGTCAGTCTATTTTATACCTTTCGGTAGATTAGTTGATGCGTTGAATATACTAAATATCGGTGACTTTATTAAGGAGTTTAGGAGGAGAGTTAGTCTTAATTTTTGTGTTGCATTGATGCATTTGCATCACTAGTTGACAAATAAAAATCCATTTCTCTGTTGAAACTACCTAATATCTGAAATACCTGAAATATATTTTATCCGGTTCAAGCTTATTTCAGAGCTATAGTTCTTAGAACTAAAATACGAGCGTGAGATCTCCCGGATATTTGATCAAGAAAACTAGATAATTATGCATGTCTTTCGTATCCATTTTTTTAACATGCATCGTTACTTTAATCTTTAGGGTATCGTCGTTGATGTTCCCTTCGCCCCATTCTTCCTCAGTCTGCTCTTGTCACGTCAGCACGGTGCTTTGTACAGCTCCATCGACGAGCTTCCTTCGCTGGATCCTGATCTCTATAAGAATCTGAACTATGTCAAGGTTTGAAAGGGAACTTCTCATAAAATGTGGTTAAACAACTGCAAAATTAAATAGAGATCCTAGTATTGTATGTTTGTGTGTAGATTCATTCTTGGGCGCGATTTTAATATTACTGTGTAAATATTTGTTGTTTTTCATTGTTTAGAATTACGACGGTGATGTGACTGATTTGGGGCTTACATTTTCATTTGATGAAGAATTTTTAGGAAAGGTACCTACTACTATTAGGTCTAGAACTTTTTTGATTTGAGAAAATATATAGGTAAAGAATATATGTGGAGAATTGAAGGGAGAAAATGAGGAAACACAACCTTACCCATTACGATACTGGCTAATTGCTTGTACTTGCAAAGTAGTCTTTTCTCAGCAGCTGCATGGACAGATTCAGCTTGAGGACGGTGTCGTCAAAGACGACGTGAAATTGGCGAACAAAAAGCATGGCATGTCCATATATGGGATCATCACGCCATGTATTCGCCATCTCACGTCAATTCTGACGTGTACGTTGGTACGTTCTCATGCTAAATCTGCCCAATAATGTTGCGAGGCCTTGTGATGGGATAAGGACTGTTTTTAACTAACTGTTGTTTTACTTTTTTATACCAAGGTCATAACGCACGATTTGAAGCCAGGGGGAAGAACTATGGACGTCACTGATGAAAATAAGTGAGTGATGGAGAGTTACGAAAAAGATGGCCGGTATACACATTTGACCAGAATGCGCTGCAAATATTAAGATATCAAGAACTAACAAATAAGAATTTAAAGAATGTTTTGCTCTTCTTTCTGCCAACATCTCACCTCATTCTTTAAGGAATAAACAACTTCAAAGTGTTGGTATTTGTGTATGAATTTGTTGTCGTATGAAATGATTACTGGCAGTATCTCATGTGTTTTCTACTGCAGTGTCCTTGGAAGGCCCCAATTTGCTTTTTAAAAAGATTTATAACAAACAAATTGCGTTTTTGTAAAGTGTACAGGCAATCGTTTTCGTTACATTTTATTTCGATTAAGCTATAGTTCGCTCAAAAATGTTTACTGTGATTTTTCTTTGTGATTTTTCCAGAATAAGCTATATCCACCTGATGGCCCACTACAAGATGTGCGTCCAGTTAAGAGATCAGAGCCGAGCGTTCTTTCATGGCTTTCGAGAGTTCATTCAACACAATTGGCTCGGAATGTTCTCGGGTCCCGAGTTGCAAAAACTGATCTCTGGCGATAGCACTACACTGGATGTCTCTGATTTACGGTATGTCTTCATTCAAAGAAATAAAGCATGCAAACGTTAAAGTGCCTATATCACTTGTGGGATATTAACGGATTTGAATAGGGCTTGAAAAATTTGTTTATAAGTTCTACAACCTTTTTTGATAAAATTAAATAGTTTCGAAAATACATACGTCGGTTGGGGGACCTGGGACTCAGGAATGATTTGCAAACACGCCGTCTTTTATAATGTAAACATGAAGAGTTTCACTGGCGATATAGTTTGCGCTTTTCAAGAAAAAAATGCAGGAACGGTGCGTTGTGTATGGCTGTAGCATCTGGGCGAGTTATTCTCAAAATATTTTACGTTATTGGAAGATCAAAGTAAAATTACATTTGATTATATTATGTTTGACAAGAACTTGGTTCCTGAGTCCCAGGCCCCCGAGCAGGAAAATCGTCATGTTTAGATGTAAATATTTCCGAAACTATTTAACTATATCGAAAAGGGTTGTAGAACTTATAAACAAATTTTTCAAGCTCTATTTAAATCCGTAAAGATCCCACAAGTGATATAGGCACTTCAATGAGTTAAGGCACATTTCACTCTTCAATGCGATTAGTTATTCTGTTGTAATCATGTTCGTGAATATTTCCTCAGAGCGAACACGACTTACTATGGTGGTTACCACAACAAACATCGCGTGATAAATTGGCTCTGGGAGATCGTCGAAAAAGACTTCAACGATTCCGAAAAGTCCGCATTTTTGAAGGCAAGTAGAAATAGTTTGTTACATGTCGATGTCTTTGTCCTTTTGATATCAGGGGCCGGTTGTTCGAAGGGCGTTTAGCTTAAACGGTGGATAAGTTCAAAATAGAAAACAGAATTATCTATTTATTGAACAACTGAGCTGAAATATTTTAATTTTCAATGGAAGTACATATTAAATACATAGGATGCAGGTTCAGTCATTCGGAAGGTCTATGAGAATACTTTTAAACTTTGCATGGCTGATCCACCATTTAAACAAAAATACCTTTCGAACAACCGGCCCCAGGACTTTTTAAATTTAACTTCATTATGATTTATGTCATTTGTAAAAGTATCTTTTGATATCCGCTTCTAAAGATACCCAGTTTTACTAAAATAATCAATCTAAGAATAAACGAAAACGACATTATTTCTGCATGAATTATATTCCATCGCAAAATACTGTAATACTAAAAATAACAAACTTTAGTAAAGTTGTAACAATTTGCCAGTGCAATTTGCCCATCTGCTTCGCGGAGCCAATCAGAACACGCTAAAAAATTAAATTGCCGCTGACGCTGTGTTGAGTCTTCTTTGCATTTCGACCGCATCGCAACCAGTGATCGTAACGCCTCGCGTAGCTTCGTGAGCAGTCGGGTGAAACTAATCACTGAGTGTGAAACCAGGAACCGGGAGTATTCTACGACACGTTACGAGCGTTCGAAGTGGGTGCTCACCATTACACGTGGCGTTTATTTATTGCTTTTTAAGTGCGAACCTACGACGTACAAAATAGAAATTATATGGTACGTAATTATCTATATTTTCAACATGGTTTGCGGTGAATTATTTACTTGATTCGCTATGTTTTGGCACGTTTATTATTTTGTATAATTATGCCCTTGTATTACAATAATACATTAGCGTAGTTTAACTGTACACAAGATCTTTCAAGGTATTATGTAAACGCACGAACTAACAGTTAGTAGAGACCTTCAGCTTGATGTGTACCGCAAGTCAACGGCAAACGGTAAACATAAGTTTAGAGACAGTTGTTTGCTATCTGATATATTAGCTTTTCTTTTACATTTAAGCTAAAGTAATCGTTTGACTGCAAACCACGCAAATAGCCAATATTAGTATAAAATTGCGATTAGAGTTTGCCGTTAGCGGTTTGCCATCAAGGCGTCGTTTAACTTCGATGCTGGACCTTGTGTTTCATTCTTCGCTGTGTATTGTGTCGATATCAGTGTTTTCTTTTGAAGCGGGTCAAATTTTGAAGGGTACTAAAAGACTGTGCATATTCTAATAGTGTCAGAGTCAGAGACTCAATCGGTAATAACAAATCTGTTTATACATTAAACATTTGCTACGAGCTTTTGCCTCAAACCAAGACGTCGTAACTAGCAATCCAGTAGAGTGTTAACAGCGGTCTAAATGCCTGGCGCTCTACAGTTAATTGTTTACGAAAATCACTGTTTAGCGAGCGTAAAAAATTGCTCAGAGTATCATAGTTTATCATACATAATGTTGGTTACGTGGGTATTTAGTGTAGTGTGGTTGCACGCACAATGGGTTTGCATGGCTGTCGGATTCAGCTTCGGGACGGCATTTTGTATATACACATTGGTGATTTTACTTGAACAGTGTTTAATGAGCAGTGTAATTGTATGGATGTGTTCACTTGGGGAATCATGCGCCTATCAATTTTAATTTCTGGCTTAAAGCAAACTAGTATAGAAATACAGCCTTGCATAAAGCCGGTACTATAGGGGCCGATTACATGGATCGGGGTAGCGCGTCTTACTGGGCTGCATAGCCCGTTTCCTATGGTAATTATAGTCAATTTTAAAATTTCGATTACATGCAACCAGGCCAGCCCGCCTTGCCAGGGTGGAAGTTACCTTGCCTTCTATTATTTCTTGCCTTATGGGCTACCTTGCCTTCTATTAATTATTTATGTTGTAAATATTTAACGTGTCGCAGAATAAATTGATTTGATTTGATTTGAAGTTTGCATTTAATCGGGCAAACCGGGCTGAAAACGTGCAAGAATGAATATAATACTATAAAACCCAGCAAGGATTGAAATTTTTAAGGCTAAACGATGTAGGGTTGTTGATGTAGCGTAATCCTATATGATTCTCAGAACCACTTTAATCCGGGACCGCAGTTTTTGTAATACCCCATACATTTGTTAATAATATTGCTTTTTTATAGTTTGTTACAAGTTGCTCAAAACCCCCGTTACTGGGTTTTGCCCACCTTCGTCCCGAGTTTTCAATACGCTGCGTCGAGACCACTGACGATGAGGTGTGTGATTTTGTCATTTTCACCTTACTACATATTTACATTTATACTTCAGTCCACAAGGCCCTATACTTCTGCCCACGGTGCCATTTTTCTTGCAACGTGCGATGAAATTTTACTTTAAGAGATGTAAATTAATGAAGAGTCCTATAAATGTGGGAGTGTAATGATAAACGTTTCGTAGTTGCAAATTTACATCTCTCAAAAGTAGCATTGCAAGTTTCATGAAAAATTGCACCGTGTAAAAGGGCCTTTAATTTTCAATAATTTCACATTGTCTTTACTTCTACTTTCTTTTAATTCACTTCACCTTTTCATTCACTTTCCCACTTTACCTTCACGTCCACTTGATCACTTTACATTTACATATTCATTTACATCACGTTGACTTCATATCTGCGTAAGTTTTGCTTTCCGTTTTAATTCTGTTTCACTTTGCGTTACACTCTTTTCACTTTTCCACTCTGTCTTCACTTTTCTTTCACTTCTTTTCACTTTTATTTTACGTTAATTTACGTTTCTCACCAATCACAACCCTTGAGCCAGTCTTTCTATGTTACTCATGCCGTTTGTGTTGTCAAAAACGTCACTTGCTTAAGCTCACTAATTACTTCACTTCTACGCTACTTCCACTTTACTTTGTCTTCACAATTCACATCACTCCCACTTCACTATTTTTCTTTCTAAACCTAACTTCTGTGCTTAAAGATATTATTTTGTTCTATAGGACGAGGGTGATTCGGTCGGGAGTGTGGTTCGAGGATTTTTCAATATTGGTCGAAGGAAAGCTTCTGCAGGTAGACTGCCTACGTCATCAACTTGTTTCAATCTTTTAAAATTACCAAATTACGGTAGGAAGGAACTTTTAAGAGAAAAACTACGATATGCTATTCAATCACATTCAGGTTTTGAGCTTTCATAACCCGCAGCAGCTTGCAGCGTTGTAAATAATTTAATTTTAACCGGTGTCCCTACCAGTTAACTTTTTCGTGGTTCTCCGAAAGGGACTGGGTTGAATCTTCACCGAAAAAGGTTTTCCGAGAATAATTTAATAGGATATGGCGACATTTTCAAATTTTGAAAATGATGCTCAATCTGCAATGGTAATGTACGACATTTAATAGCCTTTGCCTTTCGTGGACTAGTTTCTTGGACTACTTTTTTTAAAAACCTTTAAATCATCATGCCAACGGTTGCCAACAGGTTATTTTTAACTTCTGAGCCATTTCATGGAACGTGTAATGTTCGACAATGCAACTATACCAAAATGTAAAGTTGTACACTGGACTCTCTCTTACCATCTTTAACTAAGACAACTTTCAGTTTCTAAACTTTTTTTTAAATCTAATCCGGTAGGCTCAATAAGCTTTATAAGATTAAGGAATAAATCGAGGTATTAAAGATTACATAACACAAGAAAATCAGCACATTTCAACAATAAAATATACGATGAATTATATCATAGAAAATATAATTACCTATAATCACAAAATATTTTTTATTCTCAGTTACAAAGTTACTAATGATTCCTATATTAACAGTTACGAAGTAGACTTTTTCAATCGATATTATTTACGATCGAGCTGTATCAGGATTGTGTTTATCGATGATTATTGCTTTTTGTAAATGAAATAACTTCATTTTCTCCACAATCCTTTACCAGCTGATAAAATTAAAGGAATTCCGAAATTTATAGTCTACATAATTTGGAACCAATGGATTCATCTTCAGCGGAGGTTTGAAAGCAATATCGTAATTGACAACATGCTATCTGCTGAAACGAATTGATTGATTGAAAACATACATATTTTAAATTGGATAATTGCTGACTTTCGGAATATTGTACATATTTCTTCACAATATCCTATCTATCTTACCATTTAGAACCTATAGTAGACGCTTGTGTTTCAAGTTGAACATGCTCTATCGTTTTCAACGCATTTTGAAGTCAAACATTACTTTACAATCCGTGCCCTGGAAACCAGGTTGTAATCAGTTTCGTATCTCATGCGAAAGCATAATTATGACGAATGTCGCAAATGAGGATTGTTTTTTCTCAACGCAACTTGGTATGCAATCTTTTCCTTGATGAGATCCATATTCAACAACGTGTTGAATTTCATCATTTCTTTCAGTCGATCAAATGTTCGTTTCTCGTACTGAAACTCGAAGGTTGAATAGGATTTGTCAGCGTCGTCAAAGATATCGAAGTTGGCGAAATCTCGATCCTCCTTCGTCACACGTTGAACCCCTGAAAAATTAAATGTAAAAACTTGATATTCGAAAGTGATGTTGCATTCTTTCATTATTGTCATAAAAATGTTTGAACATTCACTTCTTTGTGACTCTAGGAAACATTCTTGACACAAATAAGTTCCTTTTTTCTAGAAATAAATGCCTTGTCAAGAGGTAAATTATCGGATCCTTTAAATCTCTATAAGATCTCCAGTCTGCCAGCTTTTCGCTCTACTTTGATCGACCGATTCTGTTTTTTAGCATCTTATCCCAAGGCTTTGTTTTATTTGAATTCTTATAAAAGAATTGATTTTGTAAGGCATCGTATTAGTCTCATGAAATTTGAAATTAGTTGGCATTAATTTTTAATCACACATATTTGCTTTCAAGCATAAAGCAAACAACTATAGTCCACGATCAACTTGCACTTAAAGTAGTGTGTCTCGATTTTAAATTCACCCGACTTGAAATTTATGACATTACAAGACATCCAGGGATAAACTTACTTAAAGGGGCAAAATCCACTCACTCTTAGTCCATAACAAGGTATGGTGGTGACGGAATTTTAAACGTCGAACTTTATGGGTAGTAAATAAAGCTTCCTCGCTGTAGTAGAGAAAAGTATTCATGCTTGAAGCTAGTATATGGCAAACTTTTGAGCCGAACATTAGTCTTTATCGGTAACGAAGAGACTTTGCTCGAATCTTCGTTGAGTTAATATTTTTAATACCTGGTTTAAGATAGTTTCTGAATGTTTTGTTCACAAGTGGAAAATGCAGGATGGTTGGACATCTGACGTCATCTTTGTTTTCAAAGACATAACATTCGCGAATCTCAGGATCCTCCGTGACTGGGTTCCCTTTGATTTGTGGGAATGGAAGACTATGATCCTTCGCCCATACTTCGGCTTTCAACAGTTCCTAATTCAGAGAAAAATACACCATCATTCAGTCACGATCTTCGGTACCGAAAATTATCGTGTATCCATATTTCAATGACAGTCAGGTACGGAGAGCACACCTCCCCTGTTGAATCTCCCACTTTATAAAGACTAAAGGCTAATCTCCACTCCGGAAAACGAGCAGCGGATCGGATCGGATTTTTTTCTGAGCTGGTCCAATCCATGAAGTGATTTCGGATCGGATAAAAAAAGTTAAAACTATTTGAACTTTTTTTTATCCGGTCTCGGACGCTTTCGGATCAACATAAGCCAAAATTTTCAACAGACGGCGCACGCGCGGATTATCTTTCGTTCCGACCCGATCCGCTGCTCGTTTTCCGGAGTGGAAATTAGCCTTAAACGGGGTTTATTTATCCACAAGTTCGTTCAATACCAAATGTCTTTGTAAAGCTAGTTTAATCTTTGCATGAAGTTCGCTCAATGATGAAAGACATTAAGTCTGTTGCAAAATTATAAAATATCGTTCAAACAGTTTCATTTGACAACCAGTCCTAGGTATACTAATCTATTAATCGTGTTTTGAAATAGATCGATTAAATATGCGTAAATATAACGTAAAATGGCTTTGACACAATGTGTTATTGATGTGAAGCTATATTACTTGATATTTTTCCTATAAGTTTATTTTATTTTGGTAATATTTGCTGTAATTTTAAGAAATCAGCTTCTTATACTCACCTGAAACGGAGGCTCGTTGTCTCTATCGCGTTTACTGAATTCGAAAGACAAGATGAGTTCGACTTTTCTTTCTGGTCGCAACATTGCTGGATACGGCGAATTGAATGCAATACCGCTGTCCACAATGCACATCGTCTTATCCTTACCGGGAGCGTCGTCAAAGTCGTCTGATAAGAAAGAGAGCTGATGTAGAACGAAAAATTCAATTGTGTATGCGATTTGATGGCGTATTTAGTCAGCCCCGAAAATCATGGCGCTTACAATGGCAAGAGACTGTAATTACCTGCATCATGCTATATAAATTTAAATGTGTTTTCAAAATGAAATTAAACCCCCAGCATTCTACCTTCTTCTGATCGTTTAAATTTTAGTCCACGGAGGATGTTAAATGTTTCTGCAGCTTTTCCTTTACGATTTGAAAATATATTCATTGGGTTCATCGTTTGTTTCAACCAGTTTTCATCTGTGAAATGAAGTAAAACGGAATTTAACACTGAAATTTGTGAACTTGGAAATGCATGAACGCATCAATGCAAAAGTGGCACTTTATGGTAGAAACACTGAACTCAAATAGGACTGGAACGCTCACTCTCTGACTTTCCCTCATTAATGAGTGAAGCCAAGCTGGCGGATCATGAAGCCTTTCTTGTAGGTATAACCCAGGCCTCTGGCGCGGAAATTTCAAAGAAAAAATCATAATTTTACCTACGAAATTTCCGCGTGGAGGCCTGGATCATACCTACAAGAAAGGCTTCAGTGTCCGCCACCTTGGCTTCAATCTTCATTTGACTTCACTGGGTAGAAAACAGCCGCTTTTATTCGCCAAACCATGGATGAAAGAAAGATGTACTGATGTCCATCTCAGCACTAAAAACTTCCTAAGGCAGCCATATTGCTAGAAAGTGTTTATTGCGAGATATTCGTCATTAATTTTGTCATTACATCATTGCTTTTATGCTCTCTGCCGTGTGATTTCACTAATGTTTCGGTGTTTGCGGAGTTAAAAATTCATTTAAAAATCAATTTATTAATTTATGACAATTAAAAGCCAACAAATTACTACTAAAACGGTAGAAATAGTAAAAAATTCACAGGTGGCCATGTTCCCAGCAAGTGCCGTGGCGTGCACATGACGTGTACATTTGGGGGAAATTTGAGGATACAAGAATAATATCTAGTTACACTTCTGATAACACGTATTCTGTGGTCAAACTATCGAATGTTTACAGCTAGCATAGCAATTTTTAGGCTGAACTATAAAGGTAGCAAAAAACTACCTTTAATTTCATCATAATCTTCATCATCACTGTCGTCGTCTTCACCTTTCAAATGGGCCGACTCGCCCAAAACATCTACTTCTGAAATTTTATGTATACGTCAGTTTTAACAGAAATGGATCAAAACGATGAATTCATAATTCCTTTAAAGGATGTAAGGTATATTTTATTAAGAAAAACTAACTTGTTTTCTCCACGGGTTTTTTGTCACGATCGCTCAGTGTGTTCAATATGATGCTATAAGCACTTCCCCAGATTCCTTGAAAAGAAAGGGAATGCATAAAGACGATGTAATTAGTAACCTTTTAGTAGTACCAAATTTAATCTTAAAAGTTGTGGGAGAAAAGCTTTCTCTAGCTCTTGCGACATCAATGTTGTGGAATTCTCTACCAGATAATATTAGGAATGAAAATGAATTAAAGTCTTTCTTATTTAGACGTGCATATATAGTTCTTATGAAACGTTATAATATTATTAGATGTCAGACTTAAGTAGTATTTGTTATAATAGAAATAGTATTTTAAATATAAACATTGTGAAGTGCCATTGGTTTATTAGAAGAAGTGCCGCTATATAAATGATTAAATATTATTATTATTATTATTATTAACTTAATGTGCGTTCTGCGCATATCTTCTGCTCATAACAATTAACAAACTAAGCAACAGTTTTTTATTTTATTTTATTTCATTTTATTTTCATTCAATGAAATTGATTTCAGCAGGCGAGGATAAGCGTTCGACTTGCATGTTGCTAACTTTACAGAACTGATTTATAGCATCGCCGCTATCATCAACAGGTAATTTGGGCAGAATATTTTGCACTCAAATAGCAAATGAACGACATCAACTATACAAATTACCTTGTAAATAATGCAATGGAGGTTCCTCAAACCTCTTCACCAAGCTTCCTTTGTAGTATTTCCCGCCAAATTCTTCAGTTTTTCCAAAGACGCCATATTTAGCAATGCCGTATTCAAAGGGACTGAACTCTACCCATTCTAAAAGGCAAACATTACATTTAGCGACGGTCCTGAGCTCGCCACAACCTATCATGCACTTTTATGGCAATCAAAAGCCTGATTTTTTTCATGATATTTACCGTTAAACTCGGCCGCTGGTAAATCTACACGTACGCGAATTCCGGTTGTGACGGGCAGCGGTAGTTCCCCGTGCTTCACCTTTAGCGACTGGTAACTCAATTTTGACTCTTGGTTCTGGAAAAAAAAGCGCGCCAGGTTTTTTAATAAGTAATAAACGAACTTCTTCGTGAATATAGTTGTACAATTGCAGCCTGCAGGGTTTTTCAAATCTTGTAAGTATGAGGCAAATAGTGCAAAAAAGTGGAAGTGCAAATAAATCAAATTCACAAATTCTACAGTTTTTTCCGTGAAATTATGTTTCCACTTACCGGAAGCAAAGCGTCTCCAATAACCATGCCGAAATAGTCGGTGCCGCGCACGAGTTGACCGCTTTTTGCTTTTCTTTCCAAACGATCCGTAAAGTCGAGCAAATCAAAATGGCTGAGGATATTGGTATCGAAGCGTTTCTGTAGGTCTTTAGCCATATCCTCGCAAGCCCAATGATCCGGCCAGCCTTCTCTTGCATACAATGATGATATGTACCTATGGTAGAATTTTCGATTAAATCATTGCCTAGCTGTTCGCCTTGCATTGAGTAAATTATTTTGATCAGATTCGAAAATCTCCCATTTTGTCTTCAAGGTCCACCGAACAATGTTACGTAGCTCATTGCATTTTATCGTCAGAATTTAAAGGCGCTGTTACGCCATGCCATTTTCCTTGCAACTCGCAATGCAATTATAATTTTGAGGGATGGTAATTTGTAAAGAGTGTTAAGAATGCTATAAGAAAACGTTAGCTGATTGCAAAACGTCAGCTGATCGTATTTTCAACTTTAGATTCCTCAGAAGTAGAATTTCATTGCAAGTTGCAATGAAGGTTGCATATTGTAACAGCGCCGCGACACGATTAAAGATTTCTATCGCAATAAAAACAACTAATTATGAAATATTTTTAATTCTTATTCATACCAAGAAGATCCGGATAGTCCAGTAACATATGTAGCACAGTCTAAGATTCCTCCCTCCTGGAGGGCACAGAATACTCCTGATAAACCACAAACTGCCCTATAACCACCTCCTGATCCCATGATAGCAATAGTTGGTACCTAAGTAGCGCAAGATAATATTATTCTCCAAAGTATATCGCGTGCAACTGAATATGGGTAACTTTCTTAATAAAATGAGTATAGATATTACTTCAATGTTCACGATTCGCTGCCAACTATTGGACAGTGGCTAATAATGATGAATAATTCATGCAGCCAGCATATCAACACTGTATAATTTAGTTTTAAACGTTTACCTCGTTCACCGATCTGGGTTCTTGTTTTTTTTTGCTAATTTGTCGAAGATTTCTAAGGATTTTTTGTTTGCGTCTCTTGAGGAATTCCTTTTCCTTGTCGCATAAATCGTAGCTTAATCTCAGTTCTCTAGTATCGCTATATAGGATAAATAAGGCCACAGTAAATATCAAGTGCTGTTTCAGAATCCCTGCTATAGACTACTAGAGAGGTAAAGTTAAGAAATATCTTCCCTTCTCTGTTTGAAAATGACAAAAGCAAAAACAATTCTTACTCGTAAGTTACAAGAAGTGCAATCTTCAGAGTTGTTTTCTGTAAGAAAAAAAATCGGCTGATCTAAATGCCGGTTAACTCACGGTTAAATTATTGGGACTGCTTTCCACTGTCACGTTTTTCATACGCATGCGCGTAAAAGTCTAAAGCTTATAGTTTTATGTATTTGAAAAAGTCAGGCAAATAAATTGAAAGAACTTAGTTTTCCACATATTTTAGTATGCTGTTGTTGTTGACCGATTTGTAAAATAATAACAATATGGAAGCATTTAAAATTCTCCTCGCGTAAAAATACGCGACAGTGGAAAGGAGCCAAGAGGCTGAATGTTTCCCGAGACGAAATCGAGGTAAACATTGAGACTCGAGGGAAAACAAAACTCACTATTTCCCGAGGTAGTGTACATTAAGTGTTTTCTTATATAGGAACAAAAACATGCATGTTACACAACAATTTCATTTCATAAAAATACTTTACTTTACAATGACAATATGCGGGCAACAATATTTCACCTGTTTCCCTGGCGGGAAAAATTGCGTTTATTTAAAGTCATGTGACTACGAATGAACCAATCACATTTAAAATAAACAGCACCTATATAACAACACTGATTATTTTTACCTCGTGAAAAACAATTTCCATCGGTACTTTTTTCTTTGGAGTAATATCATCCACCTCAATCTTTTTCCATCCGACAGTATCATCAGGTCCAATATCTTTATCCATTATTTTCAGTTCTGCCACGAATGGAATAAATTTGTTTATCAGTTTTACGCAAGTTCAATTCAGATATTTTATTGCTTTAATTTGCCAATAATTGTCATTTTGATAAAAAAACCCAACATACCTAATGTGTTTTTCTTTTCCAAATTCAAATAGAATTTGAATTCCTGGTTCCATTTAGGATTCATTTGATTCTTTTTAGTCGTCGTTTTTTGTTTTGCGTTCGGACTTGTTCGAACTCGGAGCATGACATACGGGTCTGGTGTGTCCACTACATCGATAAAAACGAAGGTTTAGTTTTAATTTTAGTTTTAGATAAAAAGTACAATTAAAATTACTCGTTTAGACCGAGATACAGCAATGCAGGATGTTCCCGAATTTGCATTCTATTAGCACTTCATTTTAACGCGCGGTTTTTCTTGAAATGTCATTACTTATTTTGTGCTGACCTGTGTCCGAGAAACCAACGCTCACTCCTTTTGCCTTAATAACGGTTACCGTTAACATCTTTATTCTTTCCTGTTGTATCTGAAAAAGAAGAATATTTCTTTAGCTTCGTCTAAAACTCTTGATAAATGTTAGGTATATATAACTAGCTCATATACAGTCATATATACAGATATATATATATATATATATATATATAAAGAAGTATATGCAAAATGGCCGGCAGTTTCGCTTGCGGTGATAAGTAAGAAATTAAAACCCGTTTTGAAAGCATAATTCCCAGAGATTTAAAAGAAATCAAACAAGTTATAAGATAACAATATCTAGAAGTAAGTAGAACTTACAAAAAGACAGTTTTTTGTTCATCAGTGAAAGGCGTTTTTAAATTTAATTTAACATGTAAACATCGAGCGAAAGATCAAATCAATTAATTCAATGGCTGATCTAGTCAAATTTTATATATAATGTTTATTTCGCTCATTTATAGTAGCTATTTTGTAAAACAATTATACCACTCGCAAGATACCTAATACCAGCCCTATCTATATCAGGGAATTTAGACCAAAATATAAGGCCAAACACCGCTCAAATTCTTACACCGTTTGACCTCATCTAGTGACCTCAAAGTAATACAAGATATAATCTATATATCTACCCTTGTCATTATATAATTACCTGATATCTTTGCATCTTGAAATACTCAGTTGTGCTCTAATTGAAGAAAAAACGCCGAATTAATAATAAACTACATTTCATAATTACATAGCCAAAGCCCTTGTAGAGTAAGTTTTCAAACTGTTTTGTCTTTAACAACTTATTTTCCAAGCTCAAAAGATGTTTACAAAATGCCATTGTGTTCATATATTTAACCTGGTATGGCAAAACTCAATAAGATGTTTTGTGAAAGGATATTAAAACTTTTAATTTCGTGGTATAAGGCCAAAAACGAATTCCACTTTGTTCCTGTTTATATATAGTCTTCAGTCTTGTAATGCGTTTCCATGCATGTTCCTTCTGACCTTCTCTAATAAGGGCCTGTTTACATGGAGCGAGTTATCCCAGTGAGCTATCCCTAGGCGAGGAGTAAACTGTATATAAATGAAAGACTAATGCCTTTAATGTCATGCGCTTTCACCTCGCCTAGCCGGGATAACTCGCTCTTTGTAAACAGGCCCTAAATCGCACGCCTGGCGGAAATCAGCACTTGATAGGTGTTGAGTCTAGCGTGCTTAAATAAATATTTATACGCGTATATGCATGTATTTCATTTCAGTAACTTGTCGTGGCTTGTTTTTTTCGTTGAGTATGGAATTTCGCAAATATACTTGTAAAGGTTTGTCCGACTTTGTCGAACCTTAAGTTATAGTCATCCATTTCGTTAGTGAACTATACGCGGACTTAAACGATGATAAATTCTTGTTATTTTAATCCGAATACACTTTTGAAACAGGGCATGTAGGCTCGTTCTAAGAATTCGTTACTTACATAACATTTGATTTCTTGGTATTTGATTTGATTTACGTGAGTGCAGCCATGCAGCTATTGTTCATACGAAATCGTATACAACTTGTATTGGATTTCATATTGCTATGAAATACCAAGAAATCAAATGATATCGGTATAGGCGGTAAAATAACAATTTGAGTTGACGGCCATTGCCGTAGCCGACACGATATGGGCGGGGGTGGAAAGGTCATGTTCATATAATTATTCATGTCGTGCGTGACCTATTTCTTTTTGAAAGTTTGCAGTCTCTTTATTTAAATATATGAATAAGGCCCCCTCCACTTATGCTGTCGTCGGCCAACAGTAATCTAAACGCCAAAAGTATTATACATAACCGCGGAGTATTTTTAAGTGGGTTTCGAAGCTTCCAAGGGGGGATATAAAATTTAATTAAACAGCATTTTCAGCTTAATCCGGCTTCAATGAGGTAAGCGGAATTCTTTTGTATACTCTATATATTAGACAAATTCTTTCACTTTCTGTTAGGGCAATACGAGCATGAAAAGTGGCTAGGTTGCAGTTTTATATAAAACAAATACCCCGAAGACTCGGAGAATTTATCGGACCATTATCAACACGATGTTGTTTATACTACAGAAGTAACATTTTAAAGTCTCCTTGTCATCAACGGCTTGAAAACACTTGTGTGTGTGTTTTCTTGTATTCTGAAGAATTCTAATAAATTACGTTGTTTTCTTAGAAACAACATTGAGGCCAAAACGTTCTTTGTTTAATTAACGGCCTTGGTTCTTTATGTGTTCACAAATAACCATGAAATATATGTTTGTTCGTGACACTCCTCGCCCTCGGAGTAAATCACACCTACAATACGACAGTTAATATCGCAAATTAACCATACAGCCGATAACAGCTGTCAGGTATTAAAACGTATATAGGCTAATTGAAATTTTCATATGATAATTTGACAAAGATAACCACAAATAATTGCCATTAAGATGAAATTCACAAATCCAGATGATGATCGCAAACGATAAATGGTGAACCCTACTATATATATAGCAACAGTATGAACACCCTACTAAATAAACCCTACTATATATTAGCAACAGATGTATATAGCTATAGTAGCTGTATAAGTTATTTAATTACTCACAGTCTTGTAAAGTTGTCTTGTGCTCTCGCTCTTCTTGAAGCTCGCAGCTTTGAAATTGTCAGTAGCAAATGAAAGTAATCGTTGCCTTATATTCCTTTTAATCTGTCCCGTGTCTGGGTATAGCGTCACGTGCCATTGCAAGGTAGATTTCATTCGCTCTTTTTTTACCTCATTATGTCATGGGACTTTAAGACTTGGCTGCTTTTCCCCGCCCATCGCCGGAGCAGTTTAGAATGTAATAAATTGACAAACGTAGCTCGCTTTATAGCTGACCTCTTAATAAATCGATGAAAAATCTGGCGACACTGTAGCCTCAGAGTCCGCAAATCTGTTTTATTCACGCGGTCGTCTTTGCGGCTACACAGTAATTTAAAATGTGCTGAATAAGGTCGATGACTTGACCTGAAATCGAAAGATTATATATATAGGATTTCGATTTTCGTCGTAGCTAAATTCGTTGTTTTGCGTCAACCGATCTAGGAAAACCGAATTAAATCGAGTCAAAACAAACGAATTGTGATTTTGATTCCTTGAACTGTTTCGAAATACGAAGAATTTGTTTCAATAAGAAGGGAGTGGAATTTCTGCTGTTATTAGCAAAGGGGAATCACCGAGATTTATCCGGAAATGGGCGGGAAAGAACTTGATCCCATCAAATATCACGAGAGATATAATTAATAGAAAAGAAAGGAATGATATTCATAATTCATTCGCGGAATTCATATTGAAATCAGAAAACTCGGCTTAGACAGAGATAATTGTGTTTTGAATCTGGTCACAAATAATTTTCCCGTCTAACTTTTCCGTCCACCGTCCAAACAAACAGCTAGCTATGTTAAAATATGGTTAGAAGGAATACCGTCTGTAGACGAGAAACTTATAGTCTAGTTCTAAATTCGAATGGAGACAGTTAATAAAATGTGTTTCTCAATTATCAACAACACGTTCAAAGACGAAACTAGGGTAAGGGAAATAAACAAAATGGTGTATGAATTCTCGTTCCTGGTATGATATGAATTCCACTATTGACATGCACAGATTTGTGATAATTCCCAAATGTTGTGTCATCACATATGATCGATGAAATGTTTTATTAATATCGCCTTCGGGAAATTGATGTTCCCCACATAGTCAGAGCCTATATATAGCTATCATAATATACTATCATACCAGCAAAGTTGTGACTATCATTACATAAACAAATAACATATGGCCACAAACAATATAACTGCAGTACAATATAATGCAATATACAATTACAACGAACGCGTTCCAATCAGTTAAACGTAAAACCATATTTGAGTTGGTGCTTAGACATTAAAACGTGATGAATATACCACAATCCATATACTACTCTTTCAATTTATGTTATGTTAGAAAGTTGGTATTTATTATGGTATCTCGCTCTTTTATTTTCATTTCACTGTTTGCCTCGTGCACTTGTGGGGGAATTTTGTATGACGTCGCTCATTTGCATCGCCAAAAACCGCCGGATGTCCAGTGTTGCATATATATATTTCATACAAAACATGTATATTCTCCCCTATTTATTTTCATACTAACTCTCCTGACGAAGGAC